AAAATTAAAAAATAGTTCATCTAAAAAAATATTAAAAAATACTTAATTAATAATTTAAAAATATGTCTTAATTGTATTTCAAAATAATTTAAATGAAATTTTAATACTAAAAATTTAATATTTTAAAAATAAATTTAATTACTGTAAATCTTTAAAATGTCAAAATTAAATAAAAGTTCACAATAATATCTATTCAAAATAGATATTTATATTATTTTAAATAAATAAAAATTAATTAAAAAAGATTTATTTATATTAAGAATTTAGTTATATCAATTATTTTTATTTTTGTTAAATTATTTTTTATAATTAGTTAAATTTAAAATAGATTAAAACTATTATAATATATATTTAATAATAAATTAAATAAATTTAAATTATAGAAAACACCAAAACTAATTGAAACTGCATCAATAACATATCACTTTATTTTAGTTTTTATTCTCCTATGGTTTAAATTTATTTAATTTATAGTTAAATACATATTTTAATAGTTTTGATCGAATTTTAATTTATTGAATTTTAAAAATCAATTAAATTATATTTTTATAATTTTTAAATTATAAACAATGGATATAATTAAATTGTTAATAAAATAGATTTTATATATAATTAATATACTTTTTCACACCTTTTTTTCGTTCTTCTATTATTTACATTTATTTCTTTATTATTAAAGAAATTTTTTAATATAAATTTTATACCCTTAAATTGAGTTTGTGTATTTTATAAAATTATTTAAACTTTCAAAAATAATCAAATCAAAAAATTCCTTCAATTAATTTTGTGTGTAAATCAACTTCCGAATATTATTGAAATGCTTTTGAGTCTTTTCATTAAAATATGAATTATATAATGCATATATTTTGTATCTAGAAATAAATAATGATTTGGCATTTGGTGGTTAGGTAGCCAAAGATGAATTGTTACTTTTTCGATAATCACAACATATTTGAATAATTTTATATCAATCGCTAAGACTTTGTTTGAAAATTTTATTTATTTATGTGAAAATCTTTCAAATATGAAATAAATTTCAATAAGATTTTGGATTGCCAGAAAACTATCATATGAAACTGTTTTTTTTCAAATCAATTCTAAATAATTTATTGATTAAATTGAAGAAGTTGAATCTTAAAAAAAACTGATGATAAATATAATATTCAAAATCAGAAACAAAAACAATCATTTGAACATGAAAAATTTCTAAAATCAAATTAACTTATTTCCTTCATTAATTCTATTATCATCTTATTCTGTATCTCGAAATCTGAAAAATACAGATACAACCATATTTTTATTAAAAGGATTTTAAGAACATTTAAATTAATCCAAAGTTAAAGAACAATTAAAAGTCAAATATATAGTGTACCTCTATCTTACATAATTTCTATAAATGAAAATAGAGAGTTTTTAATAGAAAAATAACTTTTGAATTAATCAATTCAATTCTACTAATTGATGTAATCATTAAATGATCATGGATTTATCAAAGTCGACAATAATAAAAAGGATTAATATAAATTGTTAAATTAAATTTTTTTTTTACATTAATTTTTATTTTTCTTCTGTGTTTGAATAAAATAAATTTAGAATGTTAAATAACAAAACTAACTACTGAATTAGTTATATAATTTAGTGAATCTCTATTTTGATAATTATTTATTGTTAACAATTAATCAATATTGTTTACAATTTTAAATAAATCAATCGAGCTGATATATTAGAATTTTATCTAATTTTTAATTCCTTTGAATCATATTTTACTGTTGTAGGAAATTCATTAAGATAAACTTAATTTTACGGAAGAATTGATTCATCTTTTCAAACAATAAATTAATTACAAGTAATTTAGCATGAACAAATGATAATTAATAGAGTTAGTAAATAATTTTTAATTTATTTCGTAATTCAGTATAGCCGTAATATATAAAAAAAAATTATTAACATTATATATATTCAAAAAAAGAAACAAACAAAATAAAGACAAAACTCATGACAACATAAATTTGATTCAAAGATTAATAATTAGTTAAAATTCATTATTATAAATTTATTTATTAAATGCATATTTCGAAAGAGAAAAGAATGAGAGTGTTGCTGGCAATATTGGCTATTATTGATTTTGGGTATTGTTTTGATAATATTACATATTTTGATGTAATAATTTCTTCCTTGCTTGTTTTGTGTAGTATTGGTACTTATGTTAGAAAATATTAGTTAGTCTTATGTTTAATAATGATAAATGCTTGTCAATAATAATTATTGCAATTTATTATGGAAAAGAATTAATTTTATATGGACCATTATTTACATGGCCAGTATTATATCTTTTAAAACTTGTTGGAACTCAAAAACATTTTTTTTTATTATTATTTTCGAATCAAATAGTATTCACTTCCCTTGATTCATTATTGGTTTATAATATCAAAAGAAAAGATCATAATTGCATTTAATTAATATTGATATTATTATTGGAAGGTTATTCATAATATATTAAACAGAAATCTTATTACTAATTCCTAAACTTATTGATAAAGCAATTCAAATAAGAATGCGTTCTTTAAATTTTTGATTAAAATCAAAAGTATATATCTGAAAATAGTCATTATTTACCATTTTAAACCAAAATGTAAACTGAAAACACTCTAATTGGAAGTCCTAGGGGGGAATAAATTAATTTATTTCAAGAAGATAAGGATATTGTTTATAAATTATATTTAAATAATGATTTAGGTTTATCAATAGATTCAAATCAATAGCAATTAAAATAATCATTAATTTTTAGATCAAATAAAGAATTGTTATAATTCTTATCTTAAAATAACCATTATTTTATCATGGCTATTAATAATGATCCTCTTCTAAATATCAAATTTTTATATTAAGTTAAGTACTTTTAGATTAATAACTAATAAGTTTTAGCATTTTTAAAAATAGACAGTGGTTTAATTGCTAGATAGAACCATAAAATACTAAAATATAAACAGAGCTTAATTAACATTTTTAATCATAAATTAAAAACTCCACTTAATAGTGCAATTGGACATCTTACTACAGCCAAAGATGATGATTAAATAATTGATTAAATTAAAAAATTATATTTGCAACCCGCTCTCCTTAATTGTAGATTATAATTATATTTAGTTTAAGATATATTAGATTATTTATCAATAGAAATAGAATAATTACCTTTAATGAACAATAAAACCAATTTAAAAATATTATTATTAGAAGTATATGATCTAATTGAATATTAATGCAAATTGAAAAATATTGAGATCCTATTTAAAATAAATAATGAAAATTTAAAAAAAATAGACATTAAATCAGTTTTAATTTATACTGATTCAAATAAATTGATCAGAGTCTTGTTAAACATTTTAAATAATTCTTATAGATTTACACATGAAGGAGGTTGTATCATCTTGGAAATAAGATTAGACTAAATCAATAAAATAACTTATTTTTCAATAACAGATAATGGATAAGGAATGGAAGAAGAACAAATTAAAAAATTAAATTGTTAATTGAAATCTTTCGAAAGCATTACATTTAACAAATTAAATAAATAATAAGATAATAATGGAAATATAAAATTAGGATTAAGTCTATTTATAGCTAATAAATTAATAAAATTGTTAAGTGGAGATAACAGTTGTTTATAATTAAGAGTATTGAATAATCAATTATTTTTTACTTTTTCGATTAGTGATATCTAAGAAATATAATCAGCAAGTTCTCTTGGATAAAGTATACATAATAGTTTAGTAAAATAAAAATCATTGAGAAGTGTAAATAACAAATTTAACAGTTAATCTAGTCCTAGAATTTCGAAATTTAAATAAAATTCATAGAGATTTATTGATCTTAAAAATTATAATTCCTTAAGATTAATTTAATAAACTGATATATGTAATGAACCATAACCTTAAGTTCCAAATAAAATAACAATACATCAAAATAATGAAAAATTTCATCATTAAAGAATAAGAATGAAAACAACAAAAAAATCTTTGTGCTCTTAATTTAGATCTAGTTTTAGAACTCATTAGATTGAATAAATCATTCGATCAGAATAATTCTAATAATAACAATAATAAATTTAAACTGATGAATATATTTTAATAGTTGATGATGAACCTTTCAATCATGAAACTTTGTGTCTAATGTTAAAAAATATGGGATTTAAAAATTTTTTAAAAGCCTTTAATGGTTAACAATGTCTGGATATAGTTTAACAATAGAATCATAATAAAATATACATGATTATGATGGATATTGATATGCCAATAATGAATGGAATCGATACTACAAAATAATTATAAACTTTAATTAGTAATAATTCCATATGTTACATTCCAATTATAGGATGCACAGCTCATGAAGACTATGAATCCCATTTATAATGCTTTGATGCAGGAATGATACATGTAGTAGTAAAGCCTGTTTTTATAAAATCAATTTAAGAAGCACTTAATAAAATCTCTGAACTTAAATCAAATGAAACGATAAAAGATGATACATCATCTGATGCTATCAATAGAATACAATCTTAATCTTCTAACTTTCATTGAAAAATATATTATTTATATATAGCAATTTTTTGTATTAATTTTTGTAAATTTCTATTTAAAAGAAAATGGAAGAATATTTAGAAGTTGATGACTACAGAGTTAATATATTTTAATATTTAGGAGGAGGGTGTTAGGGTTAAATTTTTTAATGTTTAAAAATAAGCACTAATGAGGAAATCGTAGCTAAAATAACTAAAATTAATTTTAAAAATGAAAATACTTATGAAAGAGAAATTAGTATTGTGAATTCTATTAAAAATGAAGAAAAAGTATAAAATTTAGTGAAAATATATGATATTTTTATAATTGAAAAAGATGGAGAAAAATTACTTATAGAATTTATGGAGAAATGTGAATCAGATTTAGGAAAATTAATGAAATAATATAAATAACAAAATCAATAGTTCACATTTTAAGAAGTATTAGATTTTTCAGCCTAAATCATTAGAGGATATAGTTGTTTGAATTCTTTAAACATTATTCATAGAGATATGAAACCAGAAAATTTATTAATATAAAGATAAGCCGGTAAAATTGAACTGAAAGTAATTAAGTTTAAATATTTAAGATTACTGATTTTGGAGTAGGTAAAGTATTAACAAATGATGTTGCTACTACTAAAACTGGAACACCTATATATTAAGCTCCAGAATTAAGTTCTAAAGAATTAATATATACAAGCAAATCAGATATTTTCTCATTAGGAGTTATATTATATTAACTTGTTTATAATAATGAGATTCCATTTAAGTCTGATTAAAAATCTATAGATCATATTAAATAATCTCTTAAAACTTAACCAATTAAATGTCCATAAAAAGAAGGATTTGAACCTGAATTTCTTGAATTAATTGAATAAATGCTACTATTTTCATAACATGATAGAATTGGTTGGGATTAATTAATAAATCACTATTATTTTAAAAATTATTTTCCAGAAAAAAACTAATATGGTACACATAAGAATTTTAAAAATCTTTATGAATATGTTATTGCTATTTATAATTAAACATGCAAAATTTAATAAATTTTAGATAAAATTCCATAAGAATTTGATTGGCAAATAGCTTCTATTATGTTAACTTAATATGTTTTAATAAACTTCTAAAAAGAACTTTTTCATATGTTAGATTCAATTAAAATAGAAAATTAACAATTCAATAAATCAATCTCTACTGTTTTTCATAAGAAGGTTGATAAAAATGAAATATAATAAGCATTATAAAATTATAAAATTTAAATAGACATGGAGAAAACAAATTAAGTACTAGAGGTAAATATAATTGATTTCAATTAGGATTTAAAATAAAAAATTAATTAAATTTTAGAGAAAGTTTCTGATTCTTTTTTTAAAGATTTTTATAATTCTACTATTTAATAACCAGAAGATTAAAGTTTGTTTGATTTTTGGCATTTGAAATTTCAACATATTTTTAGAACCTACATTCGAACATGGTTAAGTGGATATATGCGTGATAAAAGGTTGTCTTTAACAGAAGTATTTTAATTAGAGAAATTTTCTTATCTTTTAGACGAATATCCAAAGACTTCTTATAATGATTTTGAATAAAATTAAATTCATTCAAAAATCATCTAATAAGATTTCGCTTTGTAATATCTAAAGCAAAAACAAATAATATGAAAATTTATCTATTATTTTTTTTATTATATTAATTTTATATACAGAAATAATTTTTTTATCAATAAACTACCTTGATATTATTAAAAATCTGCAAGAACTATACAAAAAAAGATAATGAACAACTTAAAGGATTAGAGTGATGGCTAGAAATTTGAAATGAAAAAATTAAGAAAATTATAAATTTACAGAAATAGATTATATCACAAAAATAATAAATATAAAGATTATAATAATCAATTTAAAAAGCAATTAAATGAAAAAAGAATTTATATACAATTTGAAGATGATAAAATTAAAAATTAAAAAAATTTTTAGAATAGCGTAATAAGCTCAATTGATATTAAGAGTAATATGAAATTGGCTTGAAAATTTAATACAAAAATAAGCTTAAGTAATTGAATTGTAATAATAATTAAAATAACACAAATTGAATTCATAATCAAAATATAGATAATAAGAATATGGATCATAATTATTTATATGAGAAATAGAAAGATTAAACTAATAATATAATAATTTTGAAGAATAAATAAATTAATTTAGAATTAGTGTTTGATAAGATTATTATTATTAAATATTTATTTCATAAAAACATCTTAAGAAAAGAAAAGTTTAAAATGAAAAAAAGAATTGTTTATTATTTTGATTCGATTAGATAATTATATTTAATATTAAAATATTGAAATATGATAACTCTAATATGGTTAGTGCATTTTGATAAAAGATGGCTTTGTTTTAATTGTCCAATAATATAATCAATGTGGTATTCTAAAATTACTCTGTAGGCTTTTTGGAACAATATATTGCTTTTTATTAGCCGGTATTGATTTATACTCGATATATTTTCATTAATTCTGCCCATATGCATTTAAGCATTTGCTTATAAATATATTGATCCTATTAATTTTAGCAGGGCTATCTTATATAATTTATGCTAAAACTTTATATAAAAAAGTAATATAAAACGCATAAAATAATAATAGGAAAAGATGCAAAAATATAAAAATAGATAGGATATTGCTGTTAGATTAAATCATTGGACAATTAGAAAAGTTTTACTATCAAAAATTGGTTTTAGTGTATTTTTTGTAGGAGTTGTATAAAATATATGGGCATTGAAAACATTTATAAATTTGTAGGAATGTCAAAATTGTGAAGGTATGTAGCCAAATATACTTAAATTAAATTTATTGTTAACAATTCTAGCATCTATACCAATAGCATTTATGATAATTTGTTACATATTAATAAAATCAGTTGCTTTAATAACTAGTTCTTTATTCCCACATACGTATATAAAAATAAAGAAATTATTTTGTAATTGATATTCAATATATACATAATATTAATTGATAAATATTTGAGTAATTTTTAAAATATATGTATTAAAAACTGAATTCATTGTTTCATAATGAAGTGATTCCCTTCTTTAAAGGACTAATTAGAATAATTCCATCCCCTCTTAGGTAAAGTGCATCTAATTTTCTTTTAGTTTTGATTCCTTCTTAAAATGATGTTTCTTCAGCTTTGCTAATAATCATATTTAAATGATTGTCATAACTAACTAGAGTCCCTTTAAGTTCTATATTATTTCTCATTTTGATATAAATTTATTATGCAATTGAAAATTTAAGCACATCCAATGGTTCATCTAAAGTGTCCATGATTATAAAATAATAATAATTTAATTATACCGTTTTTATGAAATAAGTACTATTGATAGTGATGCTTATTACTTTAACATTCTAAACAGGATTATAAAGTAAAGTAGATCAAGTTATGGCATAAATGGATAAAATTGCATTAAAAAATGATTTCTCAAAGTAATTAGCAAGTCTTATTGAACTCAAAATGTTGTAAAGTTCTTACGTTGAAGAAGTGTTAAAAGAAATTAAAAGTATAAGAGACTAATTAATTGCTGATTAAAGTGTAGAAGATTAAGAATATGCAAAAGTATTTAAATTTAGTAATAATACATAAGAAAATTGGTCAATTGAATGTTGAAATAGAGATTTTAGAGATATAAACAGAAAAACTTGGAAGAGAATTGCAAAGATTAAATTAATAAATAGGAGAATTAAATGAAGATATAAGCAAACTTATTGGTACTTAATAATCTTAAGAGAAATAATTAAATACATTAAACTCAAAAGAAGAGGAAATAAGAAATCAATACAAGAGTGAAATAGAAACTCTAAAAGTAAATAGTTTAAATTATATTTAGCAAAGAAGTATAAATAATATAAAATCTATTGATGGATTAAATGAAATGATTGCAAAATTACAATAAGCAGTATTTGCAGAATAAAATAAAACAACAATTTTATCTTAATAACATACAAAATAATATATTGATGAATTAAGAAATTCTTTAGGACCAAATCATCCTTTAACTGCTTTAGTAGCTGTAACAACAAAGTATATATATATTAATAAATTATATATATATAGATTTGATATACCAACTGTAACTAGAATAATTCAATTACTTGAAAATATTAGAGATTAAAGAATATCTGAAAATGATGGAGCAGAGGAATATGAAGTTAAGGTTACATAAGCTTATTAAATAACTTTAAAAGAAGTAACAGAAGTTAGAGAAAGATTAAGTGCTGATTATTCTAGAACTTTAATTACTCTAAAAAGAAGAAATGAAGAAAATGTTATTTAAATTTATTTATATTTTATAGGCATTATCAACAAAGTCTAGAAATCAAATATAAAAAGATTTACCGATTGCTCAAGATTTACTTTAATAATATAGAAATGAAAGAGAAATTGTTTAATCTAATTATAATCTTAGAAGTGCAAAAAGAGAAAATGAAGTTAAAATCATTACTTAAGCTTATACTATAGTAGCTTAATAAGTTAAAGTATGATCATATCAAAAAAATCAATATTTTTTTATTATTTTATAAAGTAAAATAAATTTATTCATTATGAACTAATCTATGACCAAATTATATTCCTAAGATGGAACAGGAAGAGATTCATATATTTTTAATGATAATGGAGGTTTTTACCCTGGAAATTTCAAATTATAAAAAAAACCATCCAATCAAAACTGTAATTGTTTTTCTCAAATTCTAAGGGGCTTATGGTACTTATTCTCCTTAAAAATCTCATTTCAAACCTGAAAAACGCCAATTTTATTTTAGTGATGGAACAGGAAGAGATACATATGTAATTAGGAATGTTCAAGATAAAGCATACTTTTCACCTGATTTTTCATTTCAATTAAGAAAATATGATTCATAAGTTTTAAGTCCTTAATATCCATATAAATTACCTCCTTTAAAATAAGCTTAATTATCCATTAAATCTGATAAATAGAAAACATTAATATAGAGATTAGCTAAACCAAAACTTAGAACACAAAATGATTGAATAAGTATTTTTTAATACAAATTTATCATATATCATTTATATATATATATAGATATATTATTATAATTTTCATGCAAGATAACAAAATTTACTTTACACCTGAATCAGCCATTATTTTACAAGAATTAAAAGTCAAAAAATAATTGAAACCTAGATAATTATCTTAAGATAATCCTAATATTAATTTAAAACCTATTAAAATACCATAAAGAAGCAGACAAATTTCATTAACGAAAGAATTAGATTATTATGTAAAACAATCAATGTAAACAAAAATCAAAGAAAAATAAAAAAAATTAAATCAAGAACTTGAATGTTTTAAATATTAATATAAAGATATCTTATAAGATAATCCTTATGTAAATACTAAACTCAAACAAAATTTTTTTAATATGAAATTTTCAGATGAATAGAGAGAGACTTATGCAATTAGATTAGGACGACTTGCAATCAAACATAATCAACAAATTAAATAAATGTAAAAAATAGTAGATGATATTCATGTATGTATGATAGAGTAATTCTAATTTAGAAAAAATATGAAGCTTAAAATGAACAATTAAACTCATATATACCAAAAACTATAGAGACTTAAATTACAGAAAGTGATTCTTATATTAAAAGTGGGAAAATATATAATCATGATATATTGGCAAAATATTAATAAATTAAATACTAGCATTTTTGGAACAAAATACCTAAAACACTAGCACATTGAAATATTCTTATTTATTTTCAATTTTATAATTATATATTATGAATTATCAGAAATGGGTATATTTAATGATATCATCATCTTAATAAGAGGGGTGCATGAAAATTCATCATAAAGTACCATAATTTAGTTTATAATAAAATTATTTATTAATTTATTTTTTATTAAAAAAATTATTTATATAGTAGAAATATAATGCTATTCTGATTTTATGGTATAAAATTCTAAAATGATATTAAATTTTATTTTCAAAAAGATAATCATATCTAGATTAAACATTGAATCTTATTCTTAAATTGATTTAATTTTAATTAAATAAAACATATAGAATCAATAAATAAGTTTTCTTTTAATATTATTTCTTAAAAAGATTTATTAATATAATGATTATTACTTAAAAAAGTATATATCTTAATTAAAAACTAACAAAAGATATTCTTCCACATACTTATTCTAATTATTTATTTAAATTTGTCAGGATATATTAAATATAAGCCTACTGTGAAAACGATTTGTTGTTTGGTCTAAATAAATTATAAAAAATATAATTATGACTGTTTGAAATAGCATTCATCAATATTTTATCATCTTTTAAGACTTTTCAAATAACTTAATGAACATTTATCGAGATTGATAGGAATTCTATATTAATTTAATAGAAATAATTGAAATTAAAAAAAGAATTGAGAGATATGATTATAAATTGTAGTAATCTTATATATTTTTTGATTTTTCTTTAAATATAAATTAAATGAGAAAATAAACAATATATTATATGATTTTTATATAATAATAATAAAACACTAATTTCCATTTTAATATCTGATTTATATTAACATTTAAGTTCTTTGATAATAATTATAAAAATGGATAAAGTGAAGAAAACTTCTTGGGAGAAAATCACAACTCTTTTATCATAATTATATAGTGTTGAATTGCAAATAAAAGAAACACATTTTACTTTACAAAGCAGTATTTATACATTAGTTTCATTATTTCATTCTTAATTTAGTTAATTGATAGATAGAAATGATATTATTGATTCAATATAACAATTAGATTTTGAGACTCCTTAATTATTTAATATGGGCAGGAACTTACAATCAGAGTTTGCATTTACTTCAAATCATAAGTATATTTTAAAAGTTATATCTGGAACATAATACAGATATTTTAAAAACACATTCCATTAATATTATTTCAAAATAATTGCTAATAAGAATTGTTTGTTAGCAAAAACATTTGGAATATATAAATTTGAAGATCGAGATAATATATCATATTTGGTCCTAATGGAAAATTTATTTTATGAACATAAATTATAAAACAGTTAAATTATAAGTATATATGATTTAAAAGGAGCTTAAAGCAGTAGAATTACTAAAAATTTTGATGAGTAATTTCAATAACAACAATAATTATTGTAAAATAAAGCCCAAACCATACCTTTATTAAAAGGAAAAGATGAAGATTTTAAAAAAATAAGATTCTTTTAAGATTTCTCTGTTGAAAAGAAATTAGATTTAATGAATTAAATTAAATAAGAAAGTGATATTCTTGCAGAAGCCAATACAATGGATTATTCATTAATGATAATTACCGGACATATTAATTAATTTTAATAAGGTAAGAGACTCTTTAAATTAAATAATAATGTTGGTACAATAATAGGGATTATTGATTATTATTAAGAATATAATAGTACTAAAAAACTAGAAAACAAATTTAAAACATGGTTTGGAATGCATAAACCAGATTAACAAATTAGTTGTGTTGATAGTGATGCATATAGAAAAAGATTTCAGATTTATTTTTAGTAATTTCTTTAAGATTGAATGATAAATTTTTAAATATCTTTTATGATAATTAGAAAATATAATAAATCTTTTAATATTCTAAATTATAATTATTAATACAATTAGTATACATATAAAAATAAAGTAATGAACCATTTATTATCATTATAATAATATATATATATTTTTGAAAGTTAATGTAGAAAATATTAATTTAATTTAATCATTCACTATTTTATGTTTTTCTTCCTTAAATATAATTTTAGAGATTAAACTTGATTATATTTTAGTTTAGACTATTAGTATATTATCTTAAGAATAATTGTTACAAATAATAATATTCTATATGAGATTTGTTAAAGTTTGAAGTGAATAAAATTATATATTTATTAGAAAATATTTATATATATAACAATTCAGGATATATTTTTATAATCATCTTAAAGAGACTGTTGACATAAATACATTTATTTATTATTATTGCCATTATTGTTTTTTGTATTTCTTTTTAGGATATAAAACATCTGTAATATCTATTAAAGGAGGTCTATTGGAATGTAAAAGATTAGTTTAAATAATATCTTAAGGGCCTTGATTCTCTTTATTTGGATTTTCATATTCTTATTCAAATTTTAACTATTTTGAGTACATTTTTGAATTCAAATTTAATAATTTTTTTATTATTTATTTAAAAATAGAGAATGTCTTATAAAAGTTCTGTTTTATAAAATTCGCTATAATTGTTATCTGAGATTAGAAGTTCATTGGCTACTACATAAGGGAAATAATAACAAAATTAAAAAGGAATTAAAAAATAAGTAAAAATTGAATATCATATTTGAGTTATGTTTAATTTGAATATGATTAATAAGAAGAACCAAGAATATATCCACCTGAATGCATGAGAGTTGATAAATAAGTTGGATAAGCAAGCTCTGCTAATTTAACTGAATAAATTCTTGATTAATTAAGAATTAATTAAAAACAATTTGAAAAGTAGTGTTCAGAAATTGAAAAATAAATTAAAGAGCTAGTTGAAAACATTGAAACTGAAGATGAAATTGAACCAATTTAAAATCGTAAACCTTATAAAAGAAATTGATTATTATAATATTTCATTTATTAATTTTACAAATATATACAGGAACTGATTAATATATTTACAACTCCAATATTTTATGGATTTNATACAATTAGTATACATATAAAAATAAAGTAATGAACCATTTATTATCATTATAATAATATATATATATTTTTGAAAGTTAATGTAGAAAATATTAATTTAATTTAATCATTCACTATTTTATGTTTTTCTTCCTTAAATATAATTTTAGAGATTAAACTTGATTATATTTTAGTTTAGACTATTAGTATATTATCTTAAGAATAATTGTTACAAATAATAATATTCTATATGAGATTTGTTAAAGTTTGAAGTGAATAAAATTATATATTTATTAGAAAATATTTATATATATAACAATTCAGGATATATTTTTATAATCATCTTAAAGAGACTGTTGACATAAATACATTTATTTATTATTATTGCCATTATTGTTTTTTGTATTTCTTTTTAGGATATAAAACATCTGTAATATCTATTAAAGGAGGTCTATTGGAATGTAAAAGATTAGTTTAAATAATATCTTAAGGGCCTTGATTCTCTTTATTTGGATTTTCATATTCTTATTCAAATTTTAACTATTTTGAGTACATTTTTGAATTCAAATTTAATAATTTTTTTATTATTTATTTAAAAATAGAGAATGTCTTATAAAAGTTCTGTTTTATAAAATTCGCTATAATTGTTATCTGAGATTAGAAGTTCATTGGCTACTACATAAGGGAAATAATAACAAAATTAAAAAGGAATTAAAAAATAAGTAAAAATTGAATATCATATTTGAGTTATGTTTAATTTGAATATGATTAATAAGAAGAACCAAGAATATATCCACCTGAATGCATGAGAGTTGATAAATAAGTTGGATAAGCAAGCTCTGCTAATTTAACTGAATAAATTCTTGATTAATTAAGAATTAATTAAAAACAATTTGAAAAGTAGTGTTCAGAAATTGAAAAATAAATTAAAGAGCTAGTTGAAAACATTGAAACTGAAGATGAAATTGAACCAATTTAAAATCGTAAACCTTATAAAAGAAATTGATTATTATAATATTTCATTTATTAATTTTACAAATATATACAGGAACTGATTAATATATTTACAACTCCAATATTTTATGGATTTAGAAGAACAATAGAGAATATTATCACCTAATCATCAACTTTTAATTAATGAAATATTGTAAACTCATTAATTTCAATCAGTTTATAAAATGTGTCATAAAATTGATAATAGTCTATTCAAGAATTGTAGTTAACCATTAATGAATATAAAAAATTAGATTTAGAAGATATAGAAACATAATTATAGCTTTTAGGATGTTAAATAATAAAAAGTATTAAACATTATGAATGAGTAATTGAAGACTGAAAATATTAGATAAGAAATGATAGATTTGATTTTAGAAAAAAAACCATTCCCTAAAATATTTTAGTTTATAGAATTAAATAATATGAATCAGTTTGAAATCATCTACTGCGAGAAATTATAAAAATATTTAATTGAAGCACAATTTCATCATCAATATATAAATATTGCCAGTTTTTAATTTGATAGTAAGTAATAAATTAATTCAAATTGCAATGACAAAGAAATAATAATTGAAACTATAGAATTACTTAATTAAAATATGCATCAAATTATTAATCTTCAAATTATGAAGATAAATGACTATTATTGGATTAGAAATATATTTTAAAAATAATAATCAAAATAATTCAAAGGATTAAATGAAATTATTAGTTAAAAAATGGAATATTTATATGAATCAATTCAAAATCACTTAATAGTATTATAAAATAATAGAAATAGATAAATAAAATAACCCTTTATTATTTATGAAATTATGAAAATCTTACTTTACTTTGCTAATCAAAAAGATATGATTATTCCTGATCTTTTACTAAATTTGGGTTATAAATCTAAATATGATTAATTCAATTTCAAATATAGGTAAATCATATGTCATTCTAATCTAACATTTTTAAATTAATTAATTGAATTACCAGAATTAAAAGATATTGTTCATATATTAAATATTCCTGATAATATGTAAGGTGAGTAATAACATAAGGAATATTAAGAATATTATATACATGAAATATACTCCTTTTTTAGATTTATTAAGTATATAACAATTGACGAAGTTATTTTAACTTAATTATAAATATTATTTAAGAAATTAAATGATTATAGAGAAAAATTAACAATCATATATGATAATTAATAATTCAAAGGATTAATATCTCGTTTAAAATTACTTTATAAATCAGAAATTAATAGTTAATAATAACCTGATAATGAAAAATTTAATAAAACATAAATTAATTATATTTTGATTGTTTAATTACTTTCAGAAATCAAAATATTTACATTAACTACTTAAAATAATAAAATTGATGATGAATAAATATAAAAGATGTAAAATTATAATGATGCAAGTGATTTTGATGATGATAATGAAGAATTTAAAATATTTTAGTAAGAAATTTAAAAAACTGTTTGGAGTCCTAAAGATTATAAATATGTTAACATCTTTAAATACTTTATTAATTAGATGAATTTGTATAAAATACCATTTCCTACTCTTCTTACTATTGTTTAATTTTATAATTATAAATTTACAATTAATTGTATTAAGACAACTTAAGAAGAATTACATAAAAATTAATAATACATTCGATTTTTATTTAGATTATTGGCTAAACATTTTAAAAGAGATTAGAAGATATCTTTAAGAGAATAACTTGTAAATTTATAAGTAGATAAAATTATTAAATGGCCTAAATGTATATAACAATAAACTATTTTGATAAATGAAAATAAACATTTATTAAAAGATGAATTAAAAGAAATTATGAAAAATAAATGCTTTTAAAAGTTTTATACAGAAATGATAGAAGCTAATGAAACAAATGAATTGAGAAAAGAAATCTTAGAAAATTTAAATGATATTTTTAATTATATGCAAACTATATAATGAATTATTTAATATCATATAAAATATATTTCATAATCACATATTTATTTATTTTTTAAAATGTCAACTTTTATTAGTTAAATTTTTGCTTCTATCAAATGTGTTAATCATAAGTAGAAGACTGAATTTATTAATTTATCATCTTCATTAAACTAAAACTAATCAAGACTTTTATGTCAAAAGTGTGATTTTAATATTAATTGTGATAATGTTTTTGAAAAAAATGAGGTTGTCGAATTTTTAGAAAATATATAAATTTAATAAAAAAACCTTCAAGAAGATTATGATAAATAATATAATTTGTTTAGGTAATTAAAGGATTAGATTAATGGTTATTTAAATTCCATAGAAGAATAATTCTAATAAGAAAAATAAAGTATTTTAGAAATTTAAATTATAAAACCAGGCAATACTTTTGATTTATTTCTGTAAAATAATAATGGAATGAATATTGACTTAATAAAAAAAATGAGTGATTAACTTAGTTAATTAATTATATAAAATTAAGATACTTTATAATTAAAAACAGAATCAATTATTTAGAAAGAAGAAGACTTATGGAAATTAAAATAAAAGATTGAAAAATTATAACAATTTGAACAATTAATCAATAAAAGAGATAGTTAGATTTATTAATAATAACAATAATTATCATAATTAATGTTATCAACAACATAATCATTTATTAATATATAAGTTAATTTTATAAAGACTTATGAAAAAAAGCTTGATGAATAAATAATTTATGATTTAAAATTTAATAATAATGGGAATATTTTTGTGATTGCAAGTAATTTAATTGTAGATACAAATAGTTATGTTTAGATTTATTAGAAATAAAATGGAGAAATTATACTGATATAAAATATAGAAATTCATGAAGGTGATGTTAGATAAATTTGTTTTAATTCATAAGATGATAATTTCTTTACAGCATGTTAGGATAAAAAAATACGTTTTTGGAAATAAAAAGAATAAAATAAATGGAGTTTAGAATAAGAATTAATTGAACTTAATTCACCTGCTAATTGTATAATTTTGAATAATTCTTAAAATTATTTAGTAGCAGGAGGAGATTGCTTATATTTTTGGAAATTAGTAAATGGTAAATGGACACATGATAATTAAGAGAAAGATTGTGGATAAAGAATAAAAACTTTAAGTTTTAATTTAAATGATTAACTTTTAGCAGTTGGATATTAAGATTATTCAATTAGGATATTTGAATATTATAATGAAAAATGGATTTAAAAAATGTAAATTTAAAAATAAGCAATGCTAATTAATTTTTATAATGAAAATGATTTAGTTGGAGTACAAAGAAATGGTTATTTTAATTTTTATGAATATGATAATTAAATTTCTGATTATTAGATTAGTGAGATATAATTGAATGAAGAGAATGAAAATTATATAGCAGATTTTTGTATATAAAAAAAAATATTTGCATTGTCATAATAAGGAAAAGGTCCAATAAATCTGTTTATGGCAAATGAAAATAGAGTATCAAAACCATTTTAAACAATTCCATTTTAAGGTGATTAATTGTTTTTCTCAAATAATGGAAATCATCTTGCAATAATATCAAATAAATAATTATTCATTTATTAAGATGAAGGAGAAAGATATTGATAAATATATGTAAAATTTATAAAATTTAGATCAATATAATTTAATTTTTTATTAAATATAATAATTATATACAGTCTTTATATATAATCATTTTAAATAATGAAAATAGAAAAACGATGATAATAATATAATTATTATTCTATTTAGAATATAATTAATATAGGATGATTAAAGATATATATATAATATATTATAATAATAAATCAAAACATTCAATTATTAAATTACTTTTTGCGATTGAAATTTTTAAGCTATCGAAATTATCTTAATTCTTCTCCATCTTAAGTTTCTACTCTAATGAATTAGAAATATTCATTAATTTTATTGATGATAAATTAGTCTAATCCATTTTTAAGTTAATCAATAGCATAAGGAAAACTAAAATAAATATAATAGATATACGTATTCTTAACATTTAAAAGAGTTTATTTGAATTTAGAAAATTCATCCTCTTTAACAAGTGGACTAAGGAATTATTCAGTTTATTATTAAGCTTATGTCATTTCTTCCTCATCATTAAAATCACTATCATCTTCATCATCAAATTCATCATCCATATAACTAATGTTATATAAATAATATAGATTACTGATTTAATTTATATTTTTAATCTTTTTCATATTTTTCTTAAGCAATCAAATTATTTGTAATAATACTAATTAAATTTGGTGTAAGTAGATTTGGTTATTTAAGAATCAATGATGACATAGTTATAACAAATAATTTAATATCATATCCTGGTGAATATTTAGTATCTAAAATACGATTATAAACATCATTAAAGACTTCAGATAAAATTTCATATGTTTTTTTAGGTATTGCATATAAAGAACTTAATATTATACCAGTTATTCTTGATTTTAAATGTTCATTCATATCTTATTTTTATAAAATTTTAATAGTTTAAAATAGAATTTCTGAAAGTATATTAGTTTTAAGATCATCACCTAATTCTTATATTCCTAATTAAATTAATAATGCTCCTTCTCCTTATTCTATATCACCATAACTATCTTCATTTTATAAATTCTAAAATGCCAATTTAAAATATATAGATTATTAATTTTCATTCAAAAAATAGTTTCTACCAAAATGCATATATTAATTTAATGTTTCAAATAGATTACATAATCTACCTTAATAATTTTTAATTATATTTTAAAAATAAGGTAATATTTACATTTATAATTCTGATACAACTGATAATTTAGAAATACATCCAGATATAAATAATACTAAATCTTCATCAAAATCAATTTTATCATTATTAGCAAGCATTAAATATAATTATGATAAATGCTATTCTAATTTTCCTAATATTTCACCAAACTCATCTTAATCAACTAATGATCTTAATACATTCCAACATCTATTTAAATATATATGTCTTTCTTAATCACCTGAATTTATTTTCTATTATTCAATTATTATTCTTTATGTTAAAATTTAAACCAAACCAATCAATAAATTATCATTTTATAAAAATTAATGAGGATATCTTTTTAATAAATTTGTTATTGTTTCAAAATGTCTTTCATATGTACTATATTAAAGTCCATTACATAATTATGGAAATACTATTACTACCAAATCTTTAGTTTTCATTTTTAAATCATCATCTTCAAATATATCTTTCAATGCATCTATTGATTAATAAAGTACTACTGGCTCTTAAGGTTAAACAAAACTTATCATTATTTATAAATATGCATTCATATTTTATGATTAAGTATCCTTCTTAAATAAATTATCACAATAATAACCAAAAAATAAAGATAGTCTTAATTTTATTATCTATTCTTTAACATTCTAAAAGAACTATAAATTATCAGTCAATAATTGTTCCATTAATAAAACTATATCCATTCTTTTTTATATCAAATAACTCATAATTGTCAATACAACCAAACTACTCTCAATTCTATCAACTGCACTATATTCTTTAAATAATTTCCTATTATATAAATGTATATCTACTTCTCTTATAAAGCTTGAACAAATGTTAATTATTACTCTTTAAATTACATTGGAGTATTAGATAAAATATTTATTGAATGTTATGATATTATCACTGCTAAATTTGCTAAAAATGTTGTTGATCCATCAATATGATCACATAAAGTCTCTAATAATGATGCTGCTGCTGTCTTTGGAACATCTGATTACTATTTATCTACTGAATCCAATGCTAAATTTACGAATTCTTCTGGTTCATCTTTCATTTATTAATATTCTTTCTATGATGTTATTAAAAATGGATATATTGCATCTGTTATTAACGATATCTTAGAATCAGAAAATAATTGATATTGTTCTGTCTAAGATCCTAAATTTGCCAATAATTTCATTATGTATGTTATTATGTTTCCCAAAAATGGCTTACTTTATTATATTATATCATATATATACTTTTATATTTATTGAATCGGTTCATTATTAACATAGGACAATAAAGAATAAATTAACAATTATGTTATTGTAGTTAAATAAGGTCCAAATGCACCTTTCTTTACTTCATTCTTATTCCGACTATTCAATAAAACTTAAAGACTTAAAAAATAAATCTTTAACACTTATGCTTTTATCTCATTTAATTGATTGTCAAAATGATCAATACCTGTATTTATTATAGCGCAATTTTAAATCTACTTACCTATTTAAGGTGAATACGATAATAATATCATAAGAACGCCAGAAAAAGAATTTAATTAAAACAAGATATTTTGAATTGGTTATGTTTGTTCTTTTTAACTGTTATTTTTGTCAAATACTTTTTCACATAAATCACAAACTGCTTATGTGTATGTTCTTATTGTTATTATGAAATCTTCTGCTAATTCCTTTGGTTACTCTGTCAATTTAGTCATTATATATGCAGTCTAATTGAAAAATTCACTTATCCATTCATAGCCATGTTATACCACCGAACTATAGGTTTATAGTTCTAAAGACTCTAATAAAATTTTAAAAAATAAGATTCCTGTTTAATATTACCATTATTAATCTTGACGTAGAAATTCTTTCATCTTATTCTCAATTTCAGTCTTTACACCTAGATTTAAAATTATTTATTACTTTTATCTTTTTTAACTATCAAACTCATTGACTTTATCAAGGATTATTTATATTTCAAGTGTGTTTATTAAGACATCAGAATTGCTAACAAAGAATTTGCATGATGGATTGATAATTAAACTTAATTAATTAAGAAATAAATATACTACCATTTTTAGTTGTAATCATCTTTAAAACAACTTAGTTCAACAAACTGGCTGCCTATTCTTACACTATTCATTATTAAAATATAATCTTACTTTTATCTTATGTTATAGCAATTTATGCAATCTATTGAAAATTCTAAATGTTGTCAATTAAACTTGCCACTAATTGTTTTTCTGTCTCGTTTCTTATTATATTATCTGAATTTGTAAAAACTGTTACTAATTAGTCGTAGATTTCAGAAGCCATCCTAAATCAATATTTAAATTATTTAAATATTATGTATGAAAATATTTATCAATTTAATATTCTCACAAATTAAAATATTTTAATTATGTTTTATTACCTATTATGATTTTTGAAGTAAAGAGCCAATAAAATGAAATTTGACAATAATCGAATAAAATAAATATCATATAGGTGTTTTTAGTATTTTCCTTTTCTTTTTTTTCCCTTTACTTCCAGAATCCTATCTTTATTAATTTTATTATTTTTATTTATATTATTCTAGCATATCCATTAAAGTAGTCAATTCATTCATTTTATTTTCAATTTAAATCAATAAATCTTACGATTCTTGTTCATCTTTCTAATTTTCTGAATTCATTTATTGATAATCATTTTTTGTTCTCTATTGCAATTATTGCAGTTTCTTTTACAATTATTTGTTTTACCTTAGTAACTACTTACAATTAGAGCATTCTAAATAAAATATATAATTAACCTAATTCTTCAGACTCTTCTTGAAGTTGTTCTTAAATGATAGGATAATCATCTTATTGATTTTCTTCTACATCTTCATAATAATTCTTCTGTTCTTTAAATAATTAAATATTGCGAACCAACTTGTCAAATATATCCTTAGAATACGGTTCAACAAATCCTGGATTTTCTCTTAAATCTAAAGAGATTAATGATTCATTTGTATCCAAAATCTAACTAAACAATTTAACACCTTCTTCTCCAATTTGATTTTCTCTCAATCCAATATTCTTAGTCCAAGAATCATACATCAAAAAATTGCATAAATCTTTAACACATCTATCATCAAACATATTTTGATGTAAAAATATTTCACATAATCCTTATAAAGTCAACTATTAAGGAGGTTCTAATAAATAAGATTAATAATGTAACCATCTCCTCTTATTTCTTCTGCCCATTTCATTTCATCTCTTCTACCAGCATGTGAACTTATAATTTTACCAATTATCATTCCAGCATTTTCTTTTAATAAATTATTTGATAAATCCAATAAATTTAGAGATACACATTATTAAATAGGTTCAGATAGAATTTATAAATGTTAACTTGTCAAACTACAATTTGTTATTTTTAATTCTTTTAATGTTTTTGTACTTTTCAATCCAAATGAAATAGATTCACAATCTTTTGGACTCAATATTAAATCAGTAATATGTATTTGCATTAAATTAAATTAGGTCTATGTTAAATTTAGATTAATAGCAGTTAATATTCCATTTATTATTTATTGTAGTTCCTCTAAACTTACTATATCATCTATTTTAATGTAAATTTATGAATAATACTTTTGTTCATTTTCTTTCTTAATCTACCAAATACAACAATAGAATCAAAATGACATAAACTTAATAATAATTATAATGGTATTATATCTTCTATTCTTATTAAAACTGCATTCAATCTTAATGATTGATCCTTCAAACCTTAAGCTATAGAATTATTATTTATTTAAATACTTATTGTTTTACTTAAATGAACATGTTATTCTTAACATATTTATTTATAAATCGAAAGATATTCACGATTTGGATTCTATGTTTATTTCATCTGTTAAATAAAAATTAATATAAAAATTAAAATTTTGTTAATGAAATCATTATCTGCTTCCAAATACAATAATCATTCCAATAATACCTTTAATACACCTGATAAAAAACAAACTAAAGTATGCTCTCTAATTATATAAGAGTAGATAAAACACACAATCTACTATGAAGTTAAGTGGTGAAATGATGCCCGTTTAAAGTTATCTTTATGAATAAGCACATTTAAAAGAAGAAGCATCAAAAAAAGAAATTATTAGACTTATTAGATTAGTCATTGATAGTCTTGAAAAAAATAAAAATATTAAACAATTAAATGATTAACTATCTAAATTAATAATTGGATTGAGAACATGTATTAATTAATAAGAAGTATCAAGTTATATCATTTAATTAATACAAATTATTCGAGAAATTAATAATAATCATTAATTTTTAAAATAAATTGAAAATGAAAATGATAAAGCTATTCTAATCAAACGTATTAATTAATTAGAATTATCAGCAAAAGAAAATTAGTGGCAATTTCGTATATATATATATCTATAAATAATTTTATTTAGAACTTTAAATTAGAGATCGTGAAACTAATCAAAAGATCAAATAATATTAAGAAGAATTAGAATAAATCAAAAATTATTAAAAATAAAATAAAAATACTAAACCATAATGTGATTCATCTTAAAAAATTGAATTAAAAAATCAAATAAAAATTATGTAATAAAAAATACAAAATCTTGCAGAGAAAGAAAAAAAACTTATATAATTAGTCAAAGCAGTTAAATCTAGAGGCATTGATGTTGAACAGATTTATAAAAATATAAATTAAATATCAAGTCGAAATAGTAGAATAACTAAAGATGATACAATTACTGATTTAGCTGATAGTTCTAAATCTAATTTTGCTGATATTTCATAATTCGATATAGGTCAAACTTAAATAAAAAGAAATCAAAAATTTTTGTTTGATTGATTATTTTTATTTCTACACATTTATTTAGTTTAATCATAAATAAAATTTATTCATAATGTATAATTCAAAATCTTTATGTATTTACTATTTACAAAACCTTTAGATCAATAAGTTTCACCAAATAGTGGACGTATTTAAAAAATATCTGAAAAATTGTCAACAATATAAATTGGAGTTGAAAATGAGAGATTTTAAAAACTTGAATAAGCTGAATAAAGAATTCAATAAGCTGAAGATACTTTTAATGAATTTTAAGAATAAATATTCACTAAACTTAATGGACTAAGAGATCAAGTATTTATTAAACCTTAATTCAAAAAGTTAGGAAAATTATAAAAATAAGTAGAAGAAGATAAATTAGCTAAAGAATAGGCAAATGAAACTAAAAATAGAGAAGTTTAAGCTTTAGAGAAGAAATTTGAAAATGCTATTGAAAATGAAACTTAAGCCAGAAAAGAAGGTGAATCTAAAGTTCTTCGTCTTCTAGAAGATAAAACTGCTTTATTAAGAACTGAAGTCTAAAAAGAAACTGCTTAAAGAGTAGATTCTATAGAAGGAATTCATTAAGGATTATAAAATGATTTACCTAAAATCTAAGAAGCTATTAGAAATGAAGCTAATGAAAGAGATGAATCTGATCAAAATGTATATAATTATTCCATCTTTAGGTTATGAAATCTATTACTGATGAACTTGTTAAACTTAGTAATCTTATTAATGTAGAAAAGAGAAATAGAGATGAAAGTGAATAATCAATATTTGAAATGCTTAAAGATATTGTTAACAGAGTCAAAGTAGAACTTGATTAAGAAAAAAAAACTAGGTAAAATTATCTTATTTCAACAAATTAGAGAATAATCAGAAGAACATCTTTTAAGTTTATTAGAAGATACCTGCAATAAATTAAGTATTGCAGCAAATCTATGAAATATTTTATATATTCAAAAATATATTTTGTTATTTCTCTATTATACTCAACTTTTTTGTGATAAATTAATTTTATTTATATTATTTATTATAAAATATTTACCATTTCAAAAACAGAATTATTATTTTTTTAAATTTTTACAAGAAAATTGTCTTAATGCATTCATTATCTCTTTCTCGCTAATTTTGGAAGCTATATAATTTCGAATTAAACTTATTCTTCGTGAATTCAACATTTTCTTCGAAAGAATTACAACTTTAACACTTTTCAATAATAATCCAAAAGAAATTTTAATTCATTTAATAACAGTTACAAAATTTAAGAAAAATTGAAAACCTAGTAATTTATCCATCATCAAAAATATTTTATCCAAATAAATTGATTTCTGTATAATTATTGAATATTCCAAAATAATATTATTATTAGAAAGTGATGTTTAAAATAAGGAATTTCTTTTGATACCTATTAAGTTTTAATTATAATAAAATAATTCCAAAATTTAATTTAAACTATTTCAATTAACTGCATCTTATATAAAGAAACTTTAATTTCCTTTAATCTTAATTTATAATAATTATAGTGTGTTCAAACAAAAAAGCCAGATACTTACAATAAATGTTTAAAATAACATAATATCGATAAAATAATTTAAAATTCTCCCTAAATTTTATTTTTGAATTATCTAAGCTAGAGATTTTATATCATATCTATAATGCTCATTGAAATTTTAATTAATCTGTCTCATTTAAGTAGGACTTGCTTGCTCATTTAATAAAATTATATTAAATCTAATTATCTTGATTATTAATGAATAATATATATTAGAAAACTTGGAAAAGATTTTCTAAAGAAAAGAATCTATTATTTATTCTTTTATAGATGAAAATTCCTTGTAAAATTTTTAATAGCATAAAGATTCAAAATTAAATAGATTGATATCCTGTTCATAGAAATAAAAACATTTAAAATTTACACATATAATAGTGATAGAAATATAAAAGTAATAGAAAGGTAACAAGGATAATTTTTTCATTTATATAAATATTGAGACAGTATATTAATTTACTAATTTTTTATTGAAATATAAATATATATATTTATTATTAGTTAATTAATAAATTGATGTTAAATAAAGAAAATAACCTTATATTCTTGTAAGCTATTTAAGAAAAATAATTTGAGAAAGCCTATAAAATAGGATCATAAATTTTGATAAAAAATCCTAATGAACAAAGTATAAAAAGGTTTATGATATTTTTGTAAAATAATCTTCAAGATTGTATAATATTTATCTAATTTATGTGAACTATTAAAGTGAAGAAGAAGAAGATGAAGATGATGATGAAGAAGATTTCCAAGAGTAATAATATGAGTAAAAAAGTAAAAAAACAAATAAAAAACTATAAGTATAATAATAAACAATATGAAGATGAATTTCATGAGAATTGATAAAACATAAAATAAATTTCAACCAAAAAAAAGATAGGATGTCAAAAATAAGGAAATAATTATTCCATTAAAAAATACAAAACAAATTTAAGAAGTCAGAAAGCTGAAACTTTCACAAAAAATTTCAATAAAACAATAATATAAATTATCTGATGCCCCATAAATAAAACCAGCTATTCCCTAAATTTCTATTTAGTTTCCTACTTTAACAAGAAAATGATTAAAAAGTTTTACTATTGAACTTATATATAATAATAATATTTGATATTTCTAGTTTATTTACATTATAAATATATAGAAAATGAGATAAAACTAATGAGAAATAAGATGCTTCACTTAATCATTTTAAATTTCTAAGACAAAAAATTACCTGAAATGCAACAGAATAATTCTGAAATTATATCAAAAATCAGATGTAATAAATAAAAAATAATGCAAAGAAAATAAAATATAAGTTTTAAGAATTCGAAATAATTAATGGTAATTATAAGACAAATACTACATATTGATAATTGTAGAAAACATCCTTTTTCATTAAATTTATTGTAAGAGTTACTTAAGACAAAATATTATTCTTCAGAACCACTTTCAAAAATCTTATTTATAAAGATTTGGTAAGTATTTTACCATTATTGATAAAATTATGTACAGATTATATTGTAGATGTTTAACATGCATCAAGAGAATGGAATTATTTTTATTTTTCTGAAATTGTAAATAAGTATATGAAAGATATACTATTTAATCATAAGAAAAGTGAAAAATTAGTATGAAAATATGAGTAAAATTATTATGATAGTCATGAAAAAGAGTTTCAGAATATGTTTATTAGGCAATAACTATTGAATTATCTAAAATATTCCATACTTGATATAAATTGAATCTTATATATTGATTTTGATATTTTATTTTTTACTTAATTTAGTATTTATTATACATCTTTATAAGTTAATTTTTGTATATTATATCTTATAATAGCATAAGATAATTATGTATCAATTAATGAGAGTTTGATATTTGATTAGATTAATAAAAATTGTAATAATCATAATTTAAAATATATAAAAAAGTGAGAATTAAATTATGAATATATGAAGTATAGATATAACTTTCTACTAACAATATAAATTATATTTTATAGATTAATTTATAAATAAATAGATAAAAAGGTTCATTGTTTTTACAATAATGTAGGGGTATTGCATTCTTTAATTTTTAATGTACTATCAGGAATTCTTATTTATCTTGTAGAATTGTATTATCTTACCATAGCCCCAATATTACAATTTTCAGCAGTTGGATCATCATAACTGTCTTATTTATTAATTGCCATATGTTTCATTTAACTATTAGTAAGGGCAAGTCTATGCAAATCTTTTTATTTTTTAGGTTCTTATTTCAATGGTATATCTAGAATAATAAAAAGTGATTTTACCAGTAATCTCTCTTGAATTTTATTTTGATAATTTAGCACTGTATTAACAAAATTTGGAAGCTCCAACAACAATAGAAGATTTCCTTTAATCCTATCTTTATATAGAGATATTAGATGAGATTGATTCAGAAGAATTAAAATTTAATGGAGATCTTTATTCAATTTCTTAAGTTCCTATTTTAACAGCATTTTTAAATTCAGAATATCCTTAAAGGTTATTTTAATATTTTTCAATGTATCTACTATATTCTTTAGCTAATTCTTTAAAATAAGGATGTTTTAAACACTTATAATATATTATTATAATTTACATCTTCTGAATTAATTCTAAGAGAAGGTTTCTTAACTAACATAGATTCAATAAGATTTTGCATTTAAATAGGAGCAGCTCTAAATTATTAATCTTTGAAATCTACTTCACATTACTTATTACTTTTAAGAATAGATTTTTAATCAATTCCTGCAAAAGGAGGATTACCTGTCTATTAATATTAGATTAATAATAATACAATTAAAAGATATAAGATTACTCCTGCACTAAAAACATCACATTTATCACAATAGAATTCTAATCCATCAACATATTCAAGTATTTCAGGTGCAACAAAACCAGGTGTACCACATCTTTTAAATAATGGTTCTTCATTTAAACTAGTAGCCAAACCAAAATCAGCTAATACTATTTCATAATTATTATCTGTTGATTTCAATAATAAATTTTCAGGTTTCAGATCTCTATGTATCATATTATTTTAATGCATATGTCTAAGTGCACTTATTAAATTAAAAGCCAACTTTTACATTGTTTCAGCTGGTAAGAAACCTGATCAAAATATTTATATATATATAAATACCTGTTTCACGTACTCTTTATAATAGTTCTCCTCCTTAAATCATATCTAAAATAAAGTAAATTGAATTAGTTGTTTCATGAACTTCATGTAATTTTACTATATTTGGATGATTTAATCTTCTCATTACTTTTATCTCATTTAATAGACTTTCTATTCCTTTTGATTACTGTGACATGTAACTTTTGCTAAAGGCCTTTATCGCATATTAATTATTATTTTCTTTTTTTGTCGCTGAATACACTTTTGCAAAACTACCCTTTCCAATCATTTTTTATACTGAAAATGCATCATGAAAATTGTTCAGAATACAATTCAATCGAAAATGAGATTTCCATATCTCATAATTATTTTTATCAGATGTAAAAATCTCAAGACTTTTCCCTTAATAAGAAAGTCTGAACCCATATAAAGTCTCATCTGAATTTAATTATACAAAATGATCTGAAGATGGATCAATAAATTAAACATGCATTGTTAATAATGGAGCTCTTTTCAATTACATCACAGATACTTTGAATAAAGTACTTTCACTCATTAAAAGAAATTTTTTTTTTATTCTTTATTTAGAACCGACCAGGAATTCTGATTCTAAAAGATTTGATTATTCCTTCATATAATATAACATGTATTATTACATCCAGTAAACATTTATCACACACATGCCAAAAAGTAGAAGTTGTTTTACCAAAATCAAAAATGGATTATTGCATAAAGTCAATCAATTATATGAATATACTTTATTTTTTTATAAAACTCCTTTAATTTATCAAACCCGATAATTTTAAAATTCCACCTAATCAAAAACGAATTTCATCTTCTCAAGACAATACAAATAGATAATTGATTATTACTTAATTATTGGTTCAGTACAATATTATATTACTATTTAAAAGTATTTCTTGTTATAAATTTCTATAGCATATATATCAAAATAATGATAATAAATTAGAATATGATATGAATTTTGTAGTTCTTAAGATTTCTGTCATAGAAACCATAATAATGATTAAACTAAAAAATTTACAAATTTGATTAAGATAATAATAACTATTTGAATATAAGGAGGAGTATAAAATTAGTAATGTAATTTATTTAGTTAGTTTGAATATGAATTATAGAAGAAAGTAATTTTATATTATAAAAAAATTATCGTTTTAATGAATAATAGCTTTTCAGCTGAAGGTCAAACTTATTAGATTAGAACTGTGACAACAAGTTAGAATGTTTAGAGAACAGGTAATGTAGAATTTCAGGATGCTGTATAGAGATATGAATAACGAAGATCATCAAGACCAAGATAAACATAAAATAATTAATAAACAACAGTAATCAATTCAAAATATGTATAAATGGAAAATGAGGGAAGAAATAGTAATTATGACTTAGAAAATTCAAGATAATCTTAGAGAGTTGTAGAGAAATATTAAATAAATAATCAGAATAGTCAATATGAAGTGAATAGATCAAGTGTTAAAGAAGTTATGGATAAATATAGAAGAGGACGTGGTAATTTTTATTGAATATATATAGGAACCACTACATCTTAATTATAAACAACAGAAGTTAAATACTCAGCTATTCCTTAACCATAATATGAGTAGTTTCAATAAAAAGAAACAATTTTTGAAGGCAGAAACAGTAGATATGTTGAAGAATAAGACTATTCATAGGATAAATAAGTGACATTAAATTATAATACTATTTAAAGTACTGTGATTTATATATATATAGCTAAGTAATAAGTGTATGAAGTAGATTATGAATAAATTAAAGAAGATTGTTAGATAAGTGACATTTACAAAAGACCTGAACGAGAAGATGATGAATAAATAGATTTATTAGATAGTGATTATGTTTCTTGCAAAATATTTTGAAATTAAATAAATTATTTATATAGATGAGCGATTAAACAATTAAAATACTTTAAATAACAGCATGTACATTGTCTCTAATAGGATCTCTATTTATCATTGTAGTTTATTTGAAAATGGGGATGAGAAAAAACTTTGCATTGAAATTAATATTGTGTTTAACTGCTTGTGATATTACATTTTCTTTGTCCAATTTAATGTACATAGAACCAGGTAAATGTAAATATACTATAAGGATGCAAACCAAATTATAAAATACTTTGTGTAATATAAGGGTTTTTAATTTAATATTCTTCTCTTGCATGTTTTCTTTTTTGCTTCTTTTTATGTTTATGCATATTTTGGACAGTGATTAAAAATAAAATCAATCTTAATGAATATTAAACACTATTCTAATCAATAGGATTTTGTATTCCTCTTATAATTGCTATAATTCCCTTAATAACTAATACTTATCAAACTTAATATTATGTTTGTGGAATAGGCGACGATGTGGAATAATTATGTAAAGATTAAGAATACAAACCAAAATTAATGAGAATTGAATAAATTTGCTTATTTTATGTTCCTTTATGGTTATTGAATATTGGTGCAATAACATTTATTATTAGAGTAAGTGTGTTTATGAATAAATTAAGAACATAATCAGAATAAAATTAAAGATCAAGAAGTTCTGATTTATAAGAATTGTAATAATATACATAATAAGAATATGAACTCAAATTATCTTAGAGAATTACTTAAAATATGTTATTTTATCCAATAATAATGTTGATTTGTTATAGTGGAATGACTATATATGCAGTAGCAAAATTATGTAATAATGAAATAACAGGATTAAAAGGAATAAGATTTGTAATGGCAGAATGTTTAGGATTATGTAATTCTATTGTATATGGATACAACGCTATAATAATAATGAGACTTTAAAAAATGATGTCACAATAATAAACATTGCCAATGATGTAATTTCGTACAAGTTCTTCTGATTCTGATGTTAATAGAAAATAATTTGAATCATTTCTTTCTATAGCAACCATTTATAATGATTAATGAATAATAAATGATATTCTCATAAAGGATTGAATTTTTGATGATGAGATCTACATTGTGATGGTGATCTAGTTTTAATTACACAAGACATCTATTTAAAAATCTTTTCTTGTTTTTTCATATCTGATTTCATCATTATTTCTTTGTTTGTTTCTATAAATTATGAATATAAACGATGTTCTTTTTGGGTCCAGTGACCTTTCATAAAAATTAATCTTTATACCATTATTATATGTTTTTCTTACATTTTTACGTCTTGTTTTTTTAATTGCTATCTATGTTTATAAATCACCAGCAAACTTTTTAACAGACTCAATTGTTTATTTAGATTCAATTGGTTATTCACTATGATATGTTTAAATGTTATACTCTAAACCTTCCTCCACCTTTATTTAGTTAAATGGATTTATCATCATGTGTTGATAACGCAAATTCTCAACAATTAGAAATTGTATATAAGAATTATAGACATTGTAAAGTTATTATTCAATCTAATAAAATCATATTTTACCCAATAGAGAGCGTTGATTTGGCATCATCAATTCAAAAGATATCAGAATTATTTTCTAGAGAAAAAAAAAGAAAAATAAATGTTTTTCAATAATCTCACTCAAAAGTATTAAATATACATAAAGATACATTATTTTCATTTCCTACGAACTTTTTTTAATTAAATTTATGACTTGTTAAATATGGACTATTTCATATGATAATGCATCAAGTAGTTTGAAACATTTTTTTATCATAGAACAATCTATCATATTAATATTATTCTCAATCCATTTTTAACTTAAGGTTCCTAAAATCCTTTTTAAACTATTTTTGTTATTTCCTTTTTTCTAATTTAATATATTAATTAGGATAATGATTTTACAATGAGAACATTGAATTCTTACTGGATTCAATTTTTAAATATACTTCATCTTTTTTTATTATAATTAAATTCATAATTTCTCAACGAATTCATTCTTAGTATTTTAAAAAACCATTTTTACCACAACAAATAATTTATTTATCTTCCAAGATTATTATTGTAGATGATCAACTACAATATATTTTTTGAATCTCCAATTTTAAGTATATCATATTTAATCTACCTTAAAAATCAATTACCCTTACTGATTTCAACCCAATACAAAACTTAACCATTACAACTCAAATACTTAGATCTTTCGAATCATAAATAATCAAATTAGCTTTGAAGAAATTTTAATTTAACTTAATAATTATCCAAATAAATTATCTTTCAACATAATTATCTAATAGTAGTTAACTCCTTTGATTAACATTTAGATAAAGAAATTTGTTGCAATATTTTAAATAACATTATCATTTATTTACCCAATAATAAACTTAACTTTATTGAGTGATAATATAAGTTTGATCAAATCTATATGATATCTATTTTAATAAATACATATCTACATTACTAATATTTTAACATTACGAACCTCAAATGATTAATTTTTCTTCATGATAATTTGCATAGCTGTTAAATTCTTTATATTTTATTAATTCATTATCATATTAAGATGAACAAATTTTAGTCAGTTTACATTATCATCCTATGTTACTTTTATTATTTAATCTCCAATTTTACAAATTATTTGAATATATAGATTCAATACTATAGAAACTACGTACTCTGACATTTTAGATAAAATTTTCATTTTTATAAAATAAAACTTTATAATTAAATTTGAAGAATGTAGATATTTCTAAATCTATGATAATATCAAATAATCATTTCACTTTTTAATATTTTCTTGCAAGTTGCTTAAACAAATAATTTCTTATTTATTTATAAATCTTGTTTGTAAAATATTGTCTATATTCTCCTAATTCTTTATATCTATGATATTATTTATATTGAATCAAACTGCCTTTTTCATTCATTTCATAAATAAAAATTGTAAAATCTACCATGATTAATTTATAATTACTTGTAATCTAAAATACATACTTTAAGATATTATCAAAATTAATTCTAATATAATTTCTACTTGAAGTATTTTGAAATGCTTTAAGAGATTTGCTCAAATTATATAATTTACCAGAAACTTTTCAAATACTTAATGAATATTTATGGCAATTATGATTTTCTAATAATTATATTTATTTAAGATAATTTGGTTTAATGTATCAAACGAAATAATAATTATTAGTTAACTCTTTTATAAATCATTCATCTAAATTCTTATTTGATTGATAAACTTTTGTCTTTTTTATTAACTTTTTAAACTTAATTATTTTAAACAGAAAATAATTTAAAAGTCAGTGGATTGCAATTTATTTATAGAATTACAAAATAACTTTGAATAATAGACTTAAAGATCTTAATAAATAATAAATCATCAACTCCACGAATTTGATCTAAAATACAAAAAGGAGGTTTGTCTAATTAATAAATTACTTCTTCTGATAATTTATTCTGATTTAATTTGCATACAAGCCTATTGAATAAGCATCTAAATAACAATTTAATCAGAATTACACCAGTAAGTGTATCATAATTACATTATTAGATCTTATTAATATAGAGAGAATATTTAATAGATTATTACTATTCTATTTTTAAGGGCCATCAAATTTTAAACTAGTAAAAAACAGCATATGTGAAGATTAAGTGTTTCTATGTTCTTTATTGATAGCTTATTGAATATATTTATATTTAGTTTCTTAATTAATTAAATAAAGATATGGTTCAAATGAATTAATAAAAAAATATGATAATATCTATTTATTCACATCAAGATAATAATCAAATAGTTTCATTTAAATAAATAATAAACAAATTATTAATCATGATCCACAAATAATAGAATAAAGAGCATCACCAATGTGATCAATGATCTTGGGAGTAGTTAATGAAAAATGTTCTTTATTTTCTGCATTTTTTGCTGCTTTTCTTGTGACTATACTACCTAAAATACATCCTTCAATTTTATCTATATTTTAATGTTAAGCCCAATAAGAATAAAGTCCAATTAAACCACTTAAAATATCTCCTTAACCTCCACATCTTTTATTTGAACCTTGTATATGTACAGCATATCCAACTTTTCCATTGGTTATAATATCATTCTATCCTTTTGATACAATAATAACATTATTCAATTTTCTACTCAATTCTGCAATTAATGCTGGATATCCAAATTAAATTGTAATTTATTCATAATTTAAATCTTGATCATTTATAATTTGATTTGTTCTAGATTATTTATCATTAAATTATTCCTAAACATTAAAATTTATTAATATACAATGCAATCATAATTAGGTTTAATATACTCCATATCAAAATATTCTAATAATCGTCTTATTTCCATAGCATTAGGAGTTAATATAAATTGATCACTCTTTTCTTATATAATTCCAATTAATTTATTTTATTTCTATGAGATATGCCATAATGCATCAGCATCTAATATTTTAATACTATTATTAAATTAAAATAATTGTTCTAATATTTAAGTAGTAATTAATTCTCTTCCTAATCCTGGACCTATAACTAATGAATTCATAATTTTAGTTTAAGATAATAATTTATTTATAATATTATCTAAATATTATTCTTCTCCTTCTTCTAATAAATAAGGATATACAATGCATTCAGGACTATAACTTTTGATTGGAATTGCAGCAGATTTAGTACAAAATATATATGCTAAATCTCCACCTCCTTTTAAAGAAGATATAGCAGCATAATAAGGAGCTCCTGTATATTCAAATGATCCACCAATACTTGCTATTTTTCCATTCTATCCTTTATGACGAGTCTTATCAAAATTTGGAATTATCTTAGTTATTGAATTTTATTTAAACATAATTATTATAATTTCAATCATTAATAACCCTTCATATTAATTTATTAATATAACATTATCAATCCCCACTAGCACAACCTCTACATCCACATTATTTACATTGTACCAATTTACCTTCCTCCAATTTTGCTTTTGGAACTCTACAAATACATGTACCTCCAAAATTATGTTAAGATTTTGAAATACAATGTAAACAACACAGTTTTTCATAACCTGTCTTCTTCCATTTAGCTATTAATGATGCATCTCCATATTATTCCTATAAACAATATTCATATAATTCTCTTGATATTTCTTTTTTATAATAGTACATTTCATAAATATAACGTGATCTTTATATTTTTAATTCTTACCTTTAATGATGCAATTTATAAATCTCCCAAAATTACTCTGGCTTCTTTTTATCACTATATGCTTAATTCTCTACATCTCTTATTTAATTTCCAATTTCTGTTATTGTTGGTTCAATCAATTCCCAACCTTCAGGAGATTTCTTTGTTCGAATAGTTTTAATTTTAGGCATATATTATTCTTAATTATATATATATTTATATATTTAAAAGTGATAACTCAAAAATAATCATATTTTTAATCACCTAATGCTTCATATAACATTGTCATATTCTAATTAGGAGAATTAAAATCTATCTGTATTTTTGGTTATTTCTTTATTGTATTTGAATTTCTAGAATTTCTAAAACTTGGAGAATTTGATGGTAATTTATCAAAATCTATTGATTATGATAATGCTGATGAACAATTTCTCTATCTAGGATATTCATGGCATGAATGATTTTATTCTCTTTAATTATAATTCCTAATCTTCTCCATTAATTCTAAATTAACAGAAACTTATAAAATATCTTTATTTAATGTACTCTATACTCTCTTTGAACGATCTAATTTATTAATCTTAATATATACCATTTATCTTAGGTTTGAATGAAGGTGTTGCATCAGTCTTTAATCTCTTCATTTTCTCTTTCTTTTTATCTTCATTTTTATTCATTCTTTAAAAGAAATTCGTTTAATTAGTTGTTTTTATTATTTTCTCTGATACTTTATTTACCATTGGTTTAAATAAATTCTCTTAATTTATTTGAATCATTGAAGATTCCTTCAATTTATCTATATGATCAGCCTTTTCTATTAATAATTAATACTTTTTATTACATCCATTTCATTCCTTATTAATATAAATCACTCTTTTAAGTATTCTAATTTTTAGGCTTAAGGATTTTAGGATGAAATGTTGCTTCTTGAATTTCTTCTTACAACTTTTTTTATATAGATTTCTCTTTTGATTGTTACAATCGTTTGTTTTTTAATTGTAATTAAGATTGTTGCCTTTCATAAAATTCAATATGATCTGATTAACTATTTGTTCTCATTAATTATGGTGATGGACTGTGTTATTATTATTACTATCTAGCTCTCTTTTAATCCTCATAAATATTAAATCTAGCCAACTATTCCTAAAATTTCACTTTTGTAGTATTCTCACTCATTATTTATTTCAATTGTTTCTCCAACATTTAAAGTAACACTTTTCTTGTATTTCTATTTCTCAAGTCCATTACTATTATTTTATTATTAATTTTTATTCATAAATTTAATACCATTATGATTATATCAAATTTACATAGATAATTCAATTCAATACATAACATATATAAAATAAATCATTTATAATAATTTGCTACTTAATTAAGTTTATTTGTATTCAAAATATTATCATCTTAATTGTATTGTAATGTAAATATACACAAAAATTAAAAAATCATACAGTTTAGGTTAGAGTAATTTCAGGTTTTGTTTCACTTACAAAAAGTATTCTGCAAACAGATCTTAGAGATTAATCATCAATTCTTGTCTATTTTAATTATTTTCTCGGAGCTTCAGGACATTTTTTCTCATATACTTTTCCTTTTGGGCTTGACTAACAATTATTCATTTATTTTTATTATTAAGAAGAATTATAAAATAATAAAATTTATAAATTAGTGGCGCATCGATTTAGCGCCTTTTAAAAATCACAATTTAGGAACAATTTTAACTTTTTATTACTTTCCGAGTTTAAAGAGATTATCAATTTATCTGAAAAAATACATAATTATGAATGACTCCTATTAAAAGTCTTTAAGAAATTATGCTACCATAATACAGTTTTGATAAATAATTCATTTTTCTTTGCCTTAAGTTCTAGTCAATTCAAACATTATTACTTTGCTTACATACATATATTAATCAAAATTAAAGACTAATACTCTTTATTGTTATCTAATCCATTTATTAAAATTTGTGATTCTAAAAAACTATTTAGATAGGAGATTGATCATCAAAAGAAAAGAGATAAACATAAATAATACATTTTATTTTATTACCATTAAGGAGACCCAATATTACTTAAAATAAAATTATCATATTTTATTTGATACATAAAATAACTACTATTTTATTTTTACATTATGTAATCTGAAGTTCTTATGAATTACAGAGAATTGGTTTATTGTAATTCTAGAGTGAAAGAATTAGTTAATTCAACAAAACTTCTTAATTATTTTATCAAATAATTTATCTTAATTAAGGACTACTATATAAATCCTAAGCAATTCAATATTAAATTTTAATAATTCTGAATAATTTTATCACTATGTAAAAATTAAGAATATCAATTGACTAAAAATTGATATGGTAATTTATTGCTATTAATTGAACGCTTTCAAAAAAATTGTTCACAGCTTAAAGGCATTCTTATTTGACGGTATCAAAAAAAAGACCTACTTATTCAATATCATTTTTATTATTCTCAGTTAATATGCTCTTTACAATTTCTATTTTGTTCTTCATTCTTTACTCTTTTTACTCTTGATAATTTTTTAACTATTTTCTAAATCTCTGAAACTAATATTTCATTCTATTCAAGTAATTTTTATGAGAATTTTTATAATGATATTGATTATCGATAAATAATAGACTTTCTTTAAGTTTTATTCTTAAAATTTAATAATTAGACTTAAACTAATATTATTTTATAGTTAAATAATTTAAGCCTGATTTTGTAAAAGACAATAATTATCCCTTTTTAGTAGTTTAACAATATTTTAATTAAAATAGAGATATTAATTTATATTTATATATAGATAACAGATTAGATTGATGAATAGTCTCTTGAAAATTAATAAATTATTATATTTCTATTTATTTTTATGTTTTTTATTGCTAAAATAAATAATGTTGATTTAATATTTCACAATTATATTCTGTTAAAATAAAAAAACAAAAAATTTAAAATCGAAAATTGATGAAACCATTTCAAACACCAAATTCATGTCATTCAAGAAAGGGAAGTGCTAAAGTAAATAGACAACCATTTGCCATAATAAGTAACTGTCCAGAATTCTAATAATGTGCCAATTATTTATAAAGTAAAGTATAAGGATTGGAAATGAGAGTTAAAAATCTTAATAGTCATCATGCAAGTGATAATAGATCAACAACAGCTTCTAAGACTACATCAAATTTATCTCCTTTCAATACACATAAATAATGCAAGAAATATGGATCTAATAAGTAAATTGATACTCAAAGTTATTATGAATCAATTATCAATAAACGATTAGAAAATATAAGTAAAATTGAATAATCGCCAATCAAAACAGAACAATCAATTAATTAAGACAAGTATTCAGTTCATAGTTTAGTCACTCATTAAACAAAATTAAATTATAATTGTATTCAGAAAATATAAACTTTAACCAAAAGACTTAGATAATTTAAATTAGTCAAAGATCAAAATCAAGATGAATGTGCTCCATCTCTAGCAAAAATTAAATGTTTTTGTTAAGAATTCTCTAATGAATGTTTCGATTTCTACAGGTGTACAGATCTAATTACATTAAAATATTTTATTTATTTACTTTTATAGGAATTGAATAATAATTAAGAGACATTTCGAGGTAATGATAATCAACATTATGAATAACAAATTGAATTTTTAAAATCTTAATTGGACAATCAAAATACAGATTAGATGACCTTTAAAGGATAAATAAAATTATAAAAAATGGTTTATGACACATAAAATCTTATTTAAGAGATAATAAAATAATTATAATCATAAAATAATTAGAATGTGTTAACAAACTAAGTTGATATTTTAAATAAATAAATAAAGTCATTAAAAGATAATATGAATCAATAATAAGCTTTAAAAAGTTCCTTTGGAGTTAATTTATCAAATTATGAAACTAATGAAAATAACAATAATTCACTTATTAATTAATCTAATTATAAAACAAATGAAGATAGATTCGTAACTTAGATGAGTTCTAAGTCAAAGTCTCCTTATTGTAAGAATACTAGAAAGATTTAAATGGAAGGGGATTCATAAAATAATTTGAGGTTATTAGAAGAATAAACGATTATTAATAGATAGTTGATGGAAAAGATTTTTGAATTGTAATCTTCAGATAAATAGAACTAAACATATTAAGAATTATAAGATTAACTGAATGAAAAAAATAAGTAAATAAATGAACTTCAAAAGAATTAAAAAAGTTAAGAATGTTATCCAGAGCTAAATTAAAGAATTTTAGATATAAGTAAAAATTTGGATAATGTGATTCAATAGAATTCTACATTGCTTTAGGAAAATGAGATGCAAAAATAAAAAATTGAGTAAGCCAAGCAATTAGAGTAAAAATATTTTGATTTACTCTAAGAGAATAATAAGTAGTGTTAATAGATAAATTAAATTATAAATGATAATTGTTAATTGAAAAAAATTTAATAATAATATGAGGCAGAATGTAAGGGATATTAACAATAAATATTAAAATTATAGGAAAAGTGTGAAGTTTTATAAGCCTCATTATAAGATTAAAATGATTCAAAATTTTTATAATAATAAATAAATGAGTTATTATAATAATAATAAGAGTAAAATAAAATTATTGTAATTATAATTTATATTAAATTAGAGTTTAATAACAGATGAGGCATTATATTTAGGATAAATGACATTATATACAAATGATTTGATATAAAAGTAATAAGGAGATATTCCAAATTCAATAAGGGTTCTATAAAAGGATTTAAATAATAAAAAAACAACAATATAATAGAAGATGAAAATATTATAGTAATTTGGAAATAATATGAAAATAAAGCAATGTATATCGCATAATAGTTCAATAAAAACAAATTCAGATGTGGATTTATTAGAGAATTTAGAAAATGATGTATTACCTACAAAATGTTAATAATAATAGTATTAACATAATGATTTGATGGCAATGTTAGTAATGCAATGTCATACATTAGAAAAAATGATAGATTTTTGATAAATATATTTCAATATATTTAGCTATATATAAAAATTATAGATTTAAAGGGGAAGGTGAATAATGAGTTATGAAGAATAAGAAAAGAGAGAAAGATTGAAATCAATATAATAAACAGTGCAATTAAATATTCATTCCATTATTTTGTAAAAAAATAAGATTTAATATTTAAAATAAAAAAATGAAGCCCTATTCTGAGATTCTTTTGTGTTAATTGTATTAGCTGTAAGCAGATAAATGGAATTATGGAGATATAGGTTATACACATATAAATTCAAAGGTAATGATATAGAATTGAGATTAATAGAATGAATTAATTTTATTTTAGAAAGACACAAACCAAGAGGTGATAGTTGTTCCAATAAAGTAAGAGAATGAGTTTTGGTTTGATTAGGGTAAGTATAAATTTAAATAAAATAAAGAGGAAGCAATCTAATTCCATTTTAATAATGATTATGCTCTAAGTTTTCAAAGTAGAGAAGGTGCAAAAGTAATTTGGGATCGTATTTAAAATATTTTGTCTGAAAATGATGCTGAAGATCCTGATTCATTAACATTGACTCCAGTGAATGAAGCAAATTTGGAAGTAATATTGGAAACAATGAATAATATGATATAATATGGTTCATAAACAAAGTAAATACTTTAGAGCTATTTAATAAATAAAAAAGTAAAGTGATAATGAATTTATAAGGACTATTTTGATAAGCTTATAAAGTTGTTCCAATAATTGGAGAAAGACAATAATGTCAATTTATTATAAACAATGTGTTAAATTGTAAAGAATGTATAAATAATATATTAATAATGATTAGATAGTAACAGTAGCAGAACATGAATTATTTTAAATGATCTTAAACGATTAAAATTATTTATTTATATTTGGTGCATTAGAATGTAAGAATAATATATAAAAATTAATTTAGATGATTATGAGATGAACAAAAAGAATTTCGTTCCCCACCGTTAGTTTTTGGAGAAGAATTTGTAATTCTTGCAAGTAGTCCAAATAAAGAGTAAAGAGCGACTTAAAACCATTCATTTCATATATCGGCTGTAGTACTTGCGCGATTGTAGTTTGGCCTACTATATCGACGAGTGCCAGTTGATGTTCATTAAGATAGTTTTAACGTAATCAAAATCATGATAGATTATAAAGAGTTGTTATGTTGACCTCTTTAAATACATAGAAAATTCGAAGGATTTTTTGATAGAAGTGATTGACCAATTAAGAAATTTGAATTTCTAAGCTTTGCGATTCCTTAGTGAGATTTGTTAAGTTTTTAAGGAGTTTCCAGATGTATATTATTTATATATATATTAATTTATAGTTAAATAAAGCAGTTATATATTAGAAATTAAGTGAGTATGGTTTATACGAGATAATAGAAGATTATATAAACGATTCGCTTAAAGGATTTGAAAAATATAAAGCTAAATTCAAGAAACTTAAATTAAAGATTTCTGTAATATATAAATAATATATTTTATAAAGGATGATGTATTTACTAAAATGCCAAATATGATTCTAGAATTATTGATTGTTTGTTTATAACATTGTCCTAACAATTTTAGATAATATGTTATTAGTGAACACTAATAAGTACTTAAATATCCATTATTTAATATTATTGTGGAAAATGCATTTCATAATGAATTATATTTAGAAGCACTTAAATTATTAATAGATAATAATTCAGAAGAATAAAATGAAACTATGGATTTATTTTTGTTGTAATTCTATCCAAAGATTGCATCATAAATATAACATTTATCTACAAAAGAATACAAATAACATTTTTTAGACATTACATTAGGTTTAGTGAGAGCAATGAAACCATCAGTGAAAGAAGCAGTGATTTTAAATTCAGTGATTTTAAAAATTGGCTTTATTTTGTAGGAGAATTAAAAATTATTATCAACTAAGTGTTTACAAATAATTAAATTGATATGTTTATCTAGAGATGATGATATAAATAATGAAATCATAACCATTATTCCTAATTTAATAAGTGTTATTTTATCCTATAGAGGTTTAAGAGAAAATTTAATATTTTCATAACAATTAGAAATAATAAAGATTATATATGAAGGCATAAGTTAAAAATTGATAACATCATTAGTAAGAAAATAATTAATAATTCATAGGAGGATGAATTAAAGAAGAGAGAAAATCATATAAATTATCAAAGAATACATGATATTTTTAAGAATTTAAAAAATAATTGCATGAAATAATAATTCAATTCTTAAACTTAATCATAAAGTCAAATGTAATAAAGTTACAATGTTGTTGATGATGAAATGGATTTATTCAAATCAGTTTAAGGACATAGTACCACTCATCATGTGAAATAATAAAAGAAACAAATTGATCATGAAGAAGAAGTTGATTTGATATCCAAAAAAATAAAGATAGATTGAATTAACCAAAAACATAAAAAACAACAATAAAATAAAATAATCTATATATATATATTTTATATTTTTATTTGATGCAATCATTGAATAGAACATTTTCCACTTGCATCAGCATTATCACTAGAGTTTGTCTTTCTTTAGGCACCAGTTTAAGGTTTAGATGTTCCAGCATTTTAAGTTGTTTACTATGGGAATTTCTTTTTCATTGCTTATTTTACAGCTTCCTAAAATATTTATTTTAAATTGGTTCCATTAAGTGCACTACATTCAATATATTTGCATCCAAGATCTGATACAACCTTTTAAGCAATATTATAAGTCACAAATTAAGTGTCATTAACATTTTCTGTTGGTCTCATATCAATTTTATTTCCTATAAATATTTTAGGAACATTCGGTTGATCTGCTTACAGTTCAGGATACCACTAAGTTATCTTAAATAAATTCCTATACTTTTTTTATAGCATTTTAAAATGAACTCGTATCATCAACTGAAAATGTAATTAAAAAGACATCACTTTGAGGGTAACTTATAGATCTTAATTATTTATATTCTTCTTGTCCTGCTGTATCCCTTTATATTAAAATTTCATTTTATAATACCATAAGTTCAGATTAACCATTTTATTCTCATATAATACTTATGCACAATAATTCTCAAATATAGTTGGTACATAATCTGTTGGAAACTTATCTTGTGTATATCTATTATAACATTAATATATTACCTAATCAAAATGCATGTTTTGCCAACACTACCGTCACCTACTACTACTAATTTTATAGATATTGCTCCATTAGCTTAATTATTATTCATTTAATATTATTTATATTACACAAAAATATTTTTTCATAACCAAGTCTAAATTATCTATCTTAAATTAATTTAACTCTTTCACTTTATTAACTTTATTCACTCAATCTAACCCAAACTCCATTTCTACTTCCCATATCTTCTAAAATCAATCCATCATTTGTATAACTAAATTAAGCATGAATTCCAGATAAATGCTATTATTTATTAATTAATCATACTGTATCCATTCTAAATTAATCTAACTATCGACCAAACTTAAGACAATTCTAATTCTTTATTAATTAAAATGAAAACTTTTAATTTTTCTATTATCCTTCAATTACTCTTAAAACAACATCACATTATTAATTATTACAAACCATTTATTCTATTTTATATTACATGCTTCCCATATGTATAATTAATCCCAATCGCATTAAAGAAGGTTACATCAATAATAAAAATGTTCCAGAAGTACTACCTGTGTCTTTTAAATAGAAATTCTTTGTTTTTTAATCAAATTCAATTAAACAATGATTTCTACTTACATAATCTTCACTCAATACTAAAGTATTTTCAGGATTCCTTCCAATACTCAATCCTTTCTCTGTGATACTCATCTTCTAATTATCAGCTATACAAACAATTTCCATTGTATAAGTAATTGCTACTTACTTTATTGAATTTGGATATGATGGAATCTTTGTAGCTTCTAAATTTTATTTTGGTTATTTTAAGATTTATGGTGCTTCAACGACTTTCATTGATTCAACTAATTCAACTTTATGATTGTCTTAAAAGCTATCTCTTCTTGGTTTGAAGTCATTTAATCTCTAAATTGGTGTGTAATCAAGATTTTCTTTATTTATTATTTGTTTGCTTGCTATCGACCATTCACTTTAACCGACATTGTTTCTAACAAATTATTTATATTCTATAAATCCATTTTGAATCCATTATAAAATCTTCTTCTTTTTAACATTAGAATTAACCCCTAATTCATTCAAATCATCTTCATTCAATACTTCCAAACAAGCTCCATCTATAGCATTTCTCTCTATTAATTATCATAATTAATCTTTACAAAATACATCTGATAAATCATGTAATCCAATAAATTCTAACCATTATTCAACATCACATTAAGTCCATCTTCGAGGTTCTTTAGGAATAACACTAAATAATTTCTGATAATCCATTAAATTTAAATTTAAATTATATATATATATATTTAACAATCAAAAACTTTTATCATTTCATCTTTAACATTTAATTTTTTTCCTTCTTTATATGCTTATTTTTCTTTATAGGAATATTTTATCTCAATAATTTTGATTCCTTCTAATGAGTTCTTGAAATATGACCTCTAAAATACTCATATTTATATCAATACCCTAAAGAACAAGCTTTAACAAATTTACAATTACAAAATCTACACTTATACTCTTTTGAAAATTTATTTAAATTCTTGTTAAAAGTATAAATAGTTTATTTCTCTTCTAATTCAGGATTTGATTAAGCTTGTACTTATAATAAATTTTTTTGCATTAGTATGTCTTATAATCTTCCCACCAATCCTGATATATTCTAATTGATGTAAACTAACTAATGATCATTCTATTATTATATTGGTTTCTCAGGCTTTTCCTTGTTTACATTTATTTTTCTCTCCAAAGAATCAACACTAGTCTCTAATTGCTAAATTTGTTATTAAATGGTCTCCAAATATTAAATTAAAGAACTATCTTATTTAACTTCCTCCTATTTAACTTCAATATTATTCTTTTACAATTATATTATAAAATACCTCTCTAAATAATGAACATAGTGAAGTATGAATAGACTTACTTTAATTGTTATTTTTGTTGAAACTACACTATTAAATTTGCATCTATTCATCAAAATCGTGTACATAACCTTTATTAATTTTTGCATGTTTTGTAGAGTTGTTTGGATATTTTTAGGCGCTTTTTTTCTGAAAAATAGATTTTGATTTTAGACTAGATTGAATAAATAGAGATGGACTATATATTCCATTTGGAGGGATTTATGAAAAAATATTCTAACGATAGGGAGTATCAAAATGATAATCAAAAGAATCTTCTGTTTCTTTTTATCTTAACATAATTAATGAACTTCAAATTGAGCTCAAAATCTATTTGATGGGGAATTAACAATTTTGCTAAAATTTTAGTCACTTTTTCACTAAAACAAAATAAATTATATAAAATGGATTAGTAGTTAAAAAGAAAACATAATGACTTATGAAAATGTTTAAAGTAAATTTCAAACAAATAAATGACTAAAGATGATACTAACTAAAAACAATTAATTAAACTTTGACTAGAAATTAAATACAAATTTTAGTCACATCCTCATCATCAATATTAATTTCTAAACTAATAACACAAACAGAGCAAAAATATTGCTTTATAGAAGTTAAAATATAACCTTTTTATAATTCACTCTACATTAATTCCAAAAAGTAAACTAATTCCAATTTCATCCACAGATCACCTATTTAATCTAAAATATATTATAAAATATTATAAATAAGAAAAAAAATATCAAAACTTTATATTTAAGAAATCAGAACCTTAAACTATAATTTGAGTAATTTTGATAATTTTGATTTAATTATTCTACCATTTTATATATCATATTAATTATATTTTTTTTTAAATAGGCATTATTTGTAAAGTGCTCTTTTTAGATAATATTCGATTCTAAATAAAACTTTTTGAATTAACTACATTTTTTCTGTTTAATTTTTCATTTATTTGACTGGATGTTGAATTTTTACTTTTTTTAAATAATTATTTAGTAAAATAAATTTTCAAAATAGGAATAACTTATACATAAGCATAGTCTTTAGATGTTTTTACAAATCATATATTTTAAAATTTTCTATATGATAATTTTCTATAAAGATGTTATTTTAAGAAATTATACTAGTAATAATCATCAATATTTATCTTTAAATTACTTCTTAAATTTAATAAAAATGATGGTGATTAATTGTAAAAAAATGAAAATCAATACAATAAATTTATGAACTAAAAATGAAACTTAACAAAGTATTATGATATTATTAAAATTACCTTAAGAAAATAATAAATTTATTGCATTTCATTATTTTATTTTAGTTTAGTATTATCAAAAATGTAGCAAATGTTTAATATTAAGGTAATTGAACTTTATAAAAAGTTTCAGAATTTAAAGCTAAAAGAAATATAATTATCTTAAATAATATTCTTCTATTTAAACATAATAAATTTGATGATTATTTATTGATAAATTTCAAACTTAAGAATATCATGAATTTTACTCTATAAAAATGTAATTCTAAATATTTGAAAATTCATGAATTCTAAAATAATATAAAATCTGATTTATAATTAATTCTTGACTTGTTTTTGAATTTAGAATTGTGAATAGAAAATGTACTGGAAATAAAAATAATTTGAATAATAAAATATTGTAAAATTGATATAAGAAATCTAAATAAATAAAGAAAATTATAATTAGTTTTTAGAGAGAATGGGAATGATTATAAATAAGATAGTAATTATTATAAATCCAAAATACTTAATCATAATAATCAATATTATTAAATTTTATGATTTCCTCAATTTTCAAATTTCCTTTTGGCACAATATAAACAAATTTCCCAAAACTTTCATTCAAAGTGATAGATTTTCAGACAATGAAGGAAAGAAATCCAACTCTTCTTTCTGACTCTGATGTATAAACTTTAAGTAAGATGCATTCATTGAATTCTACATGGAAGATCGTAAATAATTAAGTTATGTTAGACTCCATAAAAATTGTATAGAGAAATCAAGTTCAACAATTTTAAGGAAGCCTTTTCTTTTATGAATTAAGTGGCTATTTTTTCAGAATAAATAGATCGTAATATATAATTCTAATCTTAGATCATCCTGATTGGGAAAATGTATATAATTTAGTTAAGATTAATCTAAATACACATGATATTGGAGGAATATCTATAAAAGATATATTCCTTGCTTATGCAATAGTAATAATATATGTAAAATATATAGGATACAATAGCTATGAATGTAAGAGTGAAATCTGCAGAATCAACAAATGATACACGTATTTTGGAAGTAGCAAAGATTGCAGAATCTTGGAATTTGAATTTTGATCAATTCCATAGAATGATTGAAACTGATTCTAGATAAATATGAATATTTATATGAATATGATGATTTCATTCTGATAATTTTTGATTGATGTATTCAATTAATCTATCAACGATATCGATTTCAGTTTATCTAAAATAATATTATATAGATATTACCTACTAACTTTTTGATTACTATATTCTTAATCTTCTAATTCATTAATTCTAGTAGCATCTTAAATATTTAATTAGGTGACTTCAACAATAGCATTAGATATATTAATAAGTCCATCTAATTCATTCAATCTTGATTAGATTTCTTTAAGTCTATTATTTGCAGTGGCTAATGATACTTATAAAGTTTGTTTTTCATTTCTTAAATCATCACCTAATCTTGTTAAATTTTCAACTTAAGTTTTGTGATTAGCTTCTAATTAATCTTAACCTTCTTATAATGCAGTGATTAATCTAGCAACTAAACTCAAAACATTATTCAATGTTTCTGGGTTAACCTTTGTAGTCATTTCAGCTAATCCTTCAATGATTGGTTGGAATAATGTTAAAGAACTTTTCTTAGTATGAGCTTCTAAGATCTCTTTAATCTTTTAAAAGTTCTCTTTAGTTTAAATTAAATTACTCTTAGTGTCTTAACTATTTATTTAAATATAGTTGATACGTTAATTGAATTAATGATGCTCCTTCACCTCTTAAATTCATTAATAATCTTTAAGCTTCTTTACAAGCAAGAATTGCATCACTATAATCTTAATATTTAGCTGCAAAATCTGTATTTTCAGCATCTAATCTACTTTAAGCATCACCACTTCCTCTACTATTTCTATCTAATGCAGCCTAATCTATTAAATTATATTCTAATTTTATTACCTTCTTTTACTCTTGTTTATAAAGTATTCAATTCATTATTTAAACTTGTCTACTCTTATCTTTGATTGTCAAGATCTTATTAAGCTTATTCAAGTGTAGCTTAGAGTTTTGCCAAATCCACTTAACTTCTTCTTGTGAATGTTGCATTTTCTTAATCTTATAATTATGTTAAAGCAATCAATTCATCCTTAATCTATTGTAAGAGCTATTTTAATTCATTTAATGATCCTCCTGTTTTCATGTTCATACTCACTAAATTAATCATAGATGAACTGAAAGGATGATCTCCATATCCTGAAAGTCTATCCTTTAAATCAGAAACTGTTGTTGCCTAAATGCAGGCAATCAATACAACAACCAATAAAGCTGATTTCATATATTATTAATAATCAAAAAAATACAAAAACGAATATTATCTCAATCATTATTATTACTTCACAAATCAATTTTTAAATCCATAAATCTTCATTTCTCTCTTAATCTCTTCTCTCCTGTATTATAGCAATCTACTTTAACTTCTTCTACGTATTCAAAGATTTCTCAATAAAATACAAAATATATACAATATTATGATAATTTAGATATTTAATATCAAAATTAAAAGTATAATCTTTAAATTAATTTTACTTTAAAGAAATCTTTTAAATTCAAATCTATATTTCAATTAATCTATTCTTACTTTACATATCATAGAAATATTATTATGAAATAATTATAGCATATCTTATAAATTTTATCATGAATTATTTTTATATTTTATTCATCGATATCTAAGCTATCAACAATATTTTGATGAATCATATTTTAATTTTCTTTAAGATATAGATTTTCTTTATAGTATATCTCATTATTACATTTGTCATGTATGTAACTTTAATTTTTAAAATTTACAAAACCTAGACAGATTTTTCTTTAATCTTAATTTATCATCTATAATTGACAAGCTTCTTTATCAATAATAGATTAAATTTAAATTATTACAAATATTTTTTGATTGAATAAATTTTGTTAATTTAATTAAATGTATTATTAGAAGTGAGAATTATAAATATAAGATATTAGGTTAAGAGATTTATTGAATTGGAATATAAAAATAGGATTTTAATTAACTTAAATTGAGATGTGAAATAAATAATTGATGAAATAATTTATATATATAATTATTATATGAAATGTTATTATTTTTTCAATCATTACGCATGGGTGTTTAATAAGTGATATAAGGAGATTAATATCCTCTCATAACAGATTGTTGAACACCTTCAAGATCATCCCAAACTCTAGTTGACATACCTGGATGATGTTAAGGTGTTTTTCCAACTTGAAGATGAGAATTAGAGGATTCAGATTTAATACATTCCAATGGCACTTTAACAACAAGATTTTTAGCTGATAACTGAATAGTGGCAACCCTGCTATTGACTTCTTGGACCATACCTCTATAAGTTTACCATTATCCTTTACGGATGGTAACCATTTATCCCCTTAGATTTTTCCAATCTTCATTAGATATTTAGGAAGTGGTATTAACAACAACAGGTTCAGCTTTTTTGGATGAAGAGACAAGACCACAATTATTGGCTTTTTCTATGATGACACCTTAAGTGTTATCAAATTTACCATTAAAAAGGAATAAGTAATCTCTATAAACATGTAATACTGTAGCTTTATTGTCTAGATGATAATAATAATTAATATTTACTTTTATAAAAGCCATCAAGAATGACCACAAGATCTTATTGTCTAATATCATTTCCATACATATTTTTGACAACATTGTTTCTAGTATTGATGAAATTTTTAATAGCTAATTTATTAATATTTTTGATTTAATTAGTAAGATCAAGAATACTAACTTCATTATTAGAAATATTAAGAATGCATCCAATATCATTATCTATGAGTCCAAATTTAACTAGATCATTTCTTTTGAATCCAGGTTTTTATTGGGTAGATCCAATATCAAGATTATCTTCTACATCCATTTTTTTAATAACATTATTTTATGATTGGAGATCAGAAATCAAGGCATCAACAATTCTACCAGCTTCAGTGGAAATTTAAGCAGTTAAATCATCCATTTTAATAATAGTTCCACTTAATCCAGTATTTGGTCCAGATACTATGGCAACTTATTAATAAAGTTTGAAAGTTAATTTGGCATCTCTAATTTAAAGTTTATATTCATAAGTCTTTTTTTCATTAGTATTTTTATTTTTAACAGTTTATTCTACAATAAGTCTATTCTCATCTTATAATATTTAAACAACCTTATATCTATTAGGTTTAGCTTAATCTTAATTTAGAGTAATGTAATCACCAATTTGAATTTTAGACTTTTATTCAACAACTTATTTTAAACTAGAATGTAGTTTTTAAAGAATTAATCTATAATCTTATACATCTGGATAGAAATATTATAAATCTTCTACTGTAGGTTTAATATTTCCAGTTAAGACTTAATGAACTGGAAGTGTAATAATTTCAAATCCATCTTTTTTAGCAGAAGTCCATTCATCTCTTATAGATGTATAAAAGAATTAAGACGTTGGTTCATCATTATCATCAATAATAGATTTCTTTGTCATCTAAATTGGTATCTTTGGTCCACGTATGTATTTTCTCTATTCTTAAAGATATTTAGCTCTTTTCAAAAACTTAAACTTGCTGCCTCTTTAAAAAGGTTCATTTTCTTCAATAGGAGGTTCACCTTCTTCTTCTTTCATTTAGAAACGGGATTGATCTGTATTAGTATTATTTTTTTTAGAATTTTTCTTTTTATTTTCTTCATCTTCTTCAAGAGATTTCATTAATTATTTCTGTCTTGGTACTACTTTCAGTTTGATTAATTTTCTCTCTTAATCTACTTACATAACTCTAGCTAAATCTCCAGAGTATATATTATGTTATCTAACTCTAACCCATTATCCTTCTTCAATGTCAATTTGTTCTACTTCTGCTGGTTTAAACATATTAGGACATTAATCACATTCCACTAATTCAGGTGGTGATTATCTTACTATAGTTAAACCTTCAATAGCTTTCATGACATGCTATTCAAAATAGGCTTCAATGAATATGGCTGCTGGGAATTTCTTTAATGCAAACACTGATACTATTTCTAAAGGATTTGTATCTATCAAATGACTATGTTTAAACATTATTGAAGTCACTGCTTCTTACTCTTTGCCCTTATTACAAGAAACACGCCAAAACTATATTTTATTTACTATTATTATTTACTTTTGGATCTCTTAATCCTGGCTTATCTATTTCATCATCTGATCTTTCTACTTCTTCTACATTTACTCCCTCTCCATTTTTAATTCTTGTTTCTATATCTTCTACAACATTTCTAACATTCCTTCTTTTTAAATCCCAATTTTAATATATCTCCTCTTGCCTTTTTTTTGATATTTCCTTCTCATATCCTCCTTAATCATGTCTATCATCATCTGAATCATCCTCTGATGTTTCAGATGCCTCTGTATCAATCAATTTTTATTTCTCTTTATATATATTTTTCTTTTTCTTTCTTTTATTCTTTTGCTTCTTCTATAATCTTTTCTTCTTTGGCTATTCGAATTATTATGACTCTGAAGAAGCTTTTATATCCTCCACTGAATCAAGAGATGACTCACTTTTACCTTCATAATCACTTCGATAATCATCATTTTTTGCGCTCATTAATTTAATTATATTCATTTAAATTTTTATGAAGTCTCTTTATTTGAAGGTTTTTAATATATATTCTTTTAAAGAAACCATCATATAGAATTTAAAAAGCTCTATACATTTTTTATAAATTATCACCCTTTATAAATACCATTCTTGAATAATACTTCAAAACAATTACAATCCTACTTTACTAAATAAATCCATTTTATTTAATCTATTACCTCAAATATTTATATCAACCTATCCAACTATACTATATTGTTTATTATCATACCAAACAATTTTTAATTGGTTAAATTAAACAAATAAAGTTAATCAGTTATTTATAAACAGGATTTTTAAAATCATATATGATTTACTATAAAAAATAACTATAATTTTGAAATATATATAATTCTCCTTAATATAAATTTTTTTAATTATATTTTATATCAAATGAATATTAATAATCTCAAATCCCTTTTGCCAATTTTTAACAACATATACTTGTCATGCAATAATTAAGCCTAATCTAATTAATCTACTCTCTAATCATTAATTAATATTGCTCCTGATTATAATAATCTTCGAATTTCTGATTTGGATGATCTTAATTTCAATAAGGCATCCATCAAATTTGTTTACTTCTACAATTTTATTACAGCATCCTTATCTACTTCTTATGCCAATCTATCAAATTCTGCAATGCTCATAATCATCAATTACTCTCTCCTTAATCGATAAAGCACTTAGTTCTTATCTGCAGAATTTTCATCTCCATATATCATTTTCATCAATTCATCACTTAAACACTTTTAAGCCACTCTCTTTTCTGGATTTGCATTATGCTACTCCATTATAGTATTAATTTATTCCTTTTTTAAAAATGTTAACATCAATAGAAAATCCTCGATAGAATCATCTGCTAAATTTAACAAATACTATTTCATATTGTATTTTGAACTTTCATCCAAAAATAATGCATTACCCTCACTTTTCCCAAATTTCGATCCATTTTTATCTGTTAATAAAGGAGTAGTAATCCCATAAACCTACTTCCTATATTGTTTCTTTACAAAATCACAACCATTAGTAATATTACCCCATTAATCACTTCCTCCTATTTATAAAGTACAATCATATTTCTCATTCAAATACGCAAAATCATAACTTTATAAAATGGTATAAAAGAACTCTGTCAAAGATAAACCATCATCTTCACCATTCAGTCTCTTAGATATATGATCTTTATTTAATAAACTATTCATTCTAAATTGTCTCCCTACTTTTGAAACAAAATCAATCAACTTTGTTTCTCTATAAAATTCCATGTTATCAAGTATTTATAAACCTGAATCAATCTTGGCATGATTTGCAATATTTGAATACAAACTTTCTAACTATTACCTTATTTTCTATAAATTCTTTTAGATTACAATTAAATCCGGCTCCTTTCGCTCTTCCTGCTTAAAACTAGGATCCCCTAATTAAACAGTAGCTCCACCAATTATAGCAATTGGCTTAAATCCCAATTAACCAAGTCTTGCTAAATTCAAGATCGAAACCAGATTCCCCAAATGCAATGAAGGAGCTGTAGGATCAAATCCACAATATACACTCCCTTATATTGGTATGTTAGTCGATGTTGATTAATACAGTAGTTTACGAGCCTTTAGAGCATTCAGAACTTAACATTAATAGTATTTAGACCTGATTCTTGATAGCATGTTAAAATATCAATTTGGTTAGAAAATTGGAGAGGGCACTTTTGCATAAGTCTATATTGGAGCATGCAATAATGAATAAGTATATTCATAATTAATTAACTTCAGGTAGCCATCAAAGTACTCCAGAAGGATTCTTTAAAGACTGAACGAGACAAATTTAGAGTCAATAAGGAAATTGAATTACTAAACAAGGTTAATCATCCAAATATTGTTAAAATGAAGGAAGTAAGCAATCAAATTGAGAATGTAGATTCTAGAAGATGAAAATTGCATATATTTGATTACTGAGTACGTTTCTGGTGGCGAATTGTTTAATTATATTGTGCAAAAAAAAAGGTTATTTTTTATCCTATTGTAGACTCACAGATAGAGAATCAAGGCATATCTTCAGATAAATCATAAATTCCATTAGTTATCTACATACTTTAGGCATTATTCACAGGGATCTTAAACCAGAAAATATTCTAATGAGGGATGATAACGATATTTGTTTAATCGATTTTGGATTGTCAATGGAAGTCACTACAGGATAGCTATTAGTAACACCTTGTGGAAGTCCATGTTATGCTGCCCCTGAAATGTTAGAAGGTTTAAACTATGATGGTACAAAAACAGATATTTGGAGTTGTGGTGTCATTCTTTATGCCATGCTATGTGGTTATTTACCTTTCGATGAAGAAAATACAGAAGTAATCTTATCTCCTAATATATTTAAGGATTTGTATGAAAAGATAAAAGAATGTTAATATACAATTCCAAATTCATTACACTAAGATGCTAAAGATCTCATAAAGAAGATATTAGTTTTTGAAGATTAGAGGATTAGCATAGAATAGATAAAAAATCATCCATTTTTCAAAATTAATAATGAAGAGATAAGTAATCATGAATTATCAATTGAATAAATTGAGTAGTCTTCAGAACTTTAAGAAGATCTAGAAGATTAAAATGATTAAGCTTCATTCATTTAATCATAACATTAAGAAGAAGATACAGAACAATATATTCAACCAATTTCAGAAATATAAAATAGACCAAGAGGACATACTTTAAAACGAGAATCTATCATGAATGAATTAGAAATTAATACTAATACTATCCAACCAAAAAATTAATTTGAACTTCCAATTCAAAACAATATGAAAAAAAATCTTAAGACTATTGAAGAAGCGTTTTAGATTATTCAAGAATCTTCAAGATATAAGGATAGAAAAATGATAGAAGATCAATCATAATCCTAAATTTAATTGCCATATAAACCAGCTATGAAAATCAACACAAATAAACCATATTCTAAAATTAAGTACGTACAAACTATTAGATATCGTGAATGATGTGTTTGTTATCAATATNTTAAAGACTGAACGAGACAAATTTAGAGTCAATAAGGAAATTGAATTACTAAACAAGGTTAATCATCCAAATATTGTTAAAATGAAGGAAGTAAGCAATCAAATTGAGAATGTAGATTCTAGAAGATGAAAATTGCATATATTTGATTACTGAGTACGTTTCTGGTGGCGAATTGTTTAATTATATTGTGCAAAAAAAAAGGTTATTTTTTATCCTATTGTAGACTCACAGATAGAGAATCAAGGCATATCTTCAGATAAATCATAAATTCCATTAGTTATCTACATACTTTAGGCATTATTCACAGGGATCTTAAACCAGAAAATATTCTAATGAGGGATGATAACGATATTTGTTTAATCGATTTTGGATTGTCAATGGAAGTCACTACAGGATAGCTATTAGTAACACCTTGTGGAAGTCCATGTTATGCTGCCCCTGAAATGTTAGAAGGTTTAAACTATGATGGTACAAAAACAGATATTTGGAGTTGTGGTGTCATTCTTTATGCCATGCTATGTGGTTATTTACCTTTCGATGAAGAAAATACAGAAGTAATCTTATCTCCTAATATATTTAAGGATTTGTATGAAAAGATAAAAGAATGTTAATATACAATTCCAAATTCATTACACTAAGATGCTAAAGATCTCATAAAGAAGATATTAGTTTTTGAAGATTAGAGGATTAGCATAGAATAGATAAAAAATCATCCATTTTTCAAAATTAATAATGAAGAGATAAGTAATCATGAATTATCAATTGAATAAATTGAGTAGTCTTCAGAACTTTAAGAAGATCTAGAAGATTAAAATGATTAAGCTTCATTCATTTAATCATAACATTAAGAAGAAGATACAGAACAATATATTCAACCAATTTCAGAAATATAAAATAGACCAAGAGGACATACTTTAAAACGAGAATCTATCATGAATGAATTAGAAATTAATACTAATACTATCCAACCAAAAAATTAATTTGAACTTCCAATTCAAAACAATATGAAAAAAAATCTTAAGACTATTGAAGAAGCGTTTTAGATTATTCAAGAATCTTCAAGATATAAGGATAGAAAAATGATAGAAGATCAATCATAATCCTAAATTTAATTGCCATATAAACCAGCTATGAAAATCAACACAAATAAACCATATTCTAAAATTAAGTACGTACAAACTATTAGATATCGTGAATGATGTGTTTGTTATCAATATCAATTTGATTTTACAACTAAAATTGTTACTAATACTCCTACAAGAATAATTGCCAAAAATTGCTAAAATTAGCCATTTCTTATTTGTTGACTTCTATGAATCTTAGGCTTAATCTAATTCTAAATTGGCTTTAACTAAATTTTCTTTAGAAGTCTATTAACTGATATCAATTATACTAATAATTTCATCTGCTTTATTTGCTTCTAATGCAAGTTCTTCAACTAATTTATTTAGTATTTAAGCTTCTCGATCTTTTTTAATTGAAATAAGAATACTATTTTTTAAATGTCTTCTTCTCTATCTCTTATCATCTAATTATCAACATCAAACTAATCATGTATTAATTACTCATCTACAAATTTTTATTTAGGATTATTCCATTTACCTTATTAACTTATTGCAATGGTCTTTCGTTTTTATTGTAATTTTTGTTCCAATTACTTATTATTTCAAGTCTTTGAATATTGTTTAATTGTTATTTCAGAATTTTTGAATCTAATCTTAAGAATCTATAATGTCTTAACCAACATTTGAGTTGCTGGCATCTTTATGATTTTGATCAAATTATTCTAAATTATCATATAATTCAGCAAATTAAGATTAAACTTGTTAATTATTTGAATTATAATACCTCAAATAGTTTATTAAATGTACTTACTTACATTAATTAATAATTTAAATGAATGTTAGTAATTCTTAGTTTAACTAATTAAAACCAAATACCTTATCTGGCATTATAAATCCTAATCTATTATAGCATCTTTAGTAGGAAAATAATAAATTGAAAAATGAAGTAGAAATATTAAAGAATGAATTAAGTCTGAATAATTAAATAATTTAGAGAATTTAAGATGAAAAAAAAAAACAAGAAGAAAAGATTTTAGAATTATAATAATAAGTACATCAAAAAAATTAAGAAATAGAAGGTCTAGGGTAATATAAAAATTTATATTTTATAATAGAAAAACAATAATAGATTAAAAAAATTTAATAGACACTTAGTCAGATTTTTAAGAGAAATGTATAAAAGTACAATAAATGAACAAATAACTAACGAAATTATTGGATGAGTTGAGATAAAATAAATAAATAGTTAGCATTGAAGTAAAACTAAAAATATATTTTAGTGCAAACCCAAGTATTAATAAAAAAATTTTGAAGAAACAGTTCATTTAAGTTTTACATAGTCTATAACACATTACCAAATTGAATACAAAAGGATGGATCGAAAAATTGATTTTTAAGGCAATGGAGAAATATTAGGTTAAGGTTTTATTTTTCGTTGTTCATGTGAATTATCAAAGGTACCTAAGAAAGGTTAGAATCCATAGATAATATAAAATGATCGTGAAATTTATATAAAGTTCTAATTTGATGTTTGATTTTTTAAAATTAATTTTTTAATTCTGGATGAATAGAATCATTAGATTTGGATTTGCCACTTATGAATCATTAGTATAGAAATTAAGCAGTGCTGATAGTCCAGCATCTATCTTATAAATATTTTAACAAAACAAAGATATTTTTAAACAAGAGCATGTGGTGCTTTCATTGAGAATGTTGGGTAGATATAGTAGATAAATGGGTCATGATAACAATTATTCAGAATTAACTGGTAAATTGAATGAGATTGTTGATTAATTGACTGAATATGGTATTTAAGTAACTGATTATTTTAGATGTAATTGATGTTTTGTTTTGGTTAAGAAAATTTAGATCTAACAAAATACCAACAAATTTCTCACAATAAGCTTAGATAAAATTATTTTAAAGAATACAGTAAATGTCAGAGAATCAGATGTTTTCATTCAGAAATATGTGTAATGTATATTATGATTTGGCAATTCTCAATCATTCTAATGATTAATTAGCAAGATCTATTTCAGAATAATTAATTAATACAAAATAACTTTCACCATTTTTGATAATTCAAATCTTCAGTTCACTAGTAATAAAAGTTAATAATTGTTCAATTTCAAAAAATGATATGTAAGTACTTAACAATGCAGTAAGAGTAGTGGAGGGTCTTTTAGAAGAATTGGATATAGAATAAGTAAATTTTAATATTTATTTAGAAATCTTAACTTTTCAAAAGTCTAGCTGAAGTACAATTTTAAAATTTGTCCCCAAAATATACACTTCCACATTTAGTCAAGTAAGTAAAAGATTTGCTATTATAAAAAATTGAATTGTTATAGGAAGATTCTGTACTTAATATCTTTAAAGCTTATTCATACTTGCCAAGATATTTTGATTCTGATCTAATAAAAGAATTAAAAGATATGATTATTACAACTATAGAATAAAACCCAAATAATCTGTCATCAAAATTCCTTGTATTTCTTTTAGATAGATTGACAGTCTAAACTTAGAAACCATCTCAAGAATTTGTAAAAAAAATTGTTACAGAATTAACTTAAAGAATTATTAAAAAAGAAATAGAAGTTCCACTCTTATGTCAACTATGTAATAGTCTTTTAGGAAGCAAAAAATATGATGAGCTTACAAATGCTTTAAAAGAAAGTGGAGAAACAAGTGTTAAGATACTGAATTATTTATATTTAAATGGAGTTAACATGAAAGAATATGTTGATTAATATGTATCCAATATGGACTCTAAAAGAATCAATACTTACAATGCTATACATTATTTAATTTATGCTTAAAGAGATGCCTAAGAATATGTAGAAAGGTTTTAGGCTGCTTGTCGTTAAACTATTAAAGCAAATCCTAATTCTGTACTAAAAACATTACTTGAAATTAAACTCAATGCTTAGATTAAGAATCAAATTCAAGAAGAAGCATTTCTGTAAGTAATTGAAGATCTTAAAAATAAAAAATATGATATCTATAAAGTGATTAAGGAATTATTGAGTTCTTGTGTAAGTAATAAATGCAGATAAGCTTTATTGCAATATAATGATTAATTAGAAAATAAATTATAACCAAAATAAATTTTAAATAAAGTTATTGGAAGTGATGAACCTTTTGACTCAGATAAATTATCAATGATGTTGTAAATATTTTAAAGAGATACAAAAATTATTCCTATTCATAGATTTGTTGATTATATAACTTTGTCTCCCTAAAATTTATATGGTTTCATTAGAAGTGATCAAATATAATGGGTTTGTTAGATCATATTATCATCATTATAAAGTTCATCAATAATGAAATTTAATGCATTGGTAAATTTTGTTGAAAGATTTGAAGGTGCAGGTTATACAAGTAAACATATTCTTATTTTGGTTTAAAGAGTTGTAGATTATTACAGATAAAACAATCCTAATACTCCATTTCCAGATTCAACTTTTGTTTAAGCCTTAATTAAACTTAATCTTTTTACACCTGAAGATGCTGCTCTTTAGTTGAATAATGAAAAATCTTATAAATATTTTAAGGTTTAGTTATGTGGTATTGCTTTGTAATTAGAAAACCCTCCAGAAAATGTTCTATAACTAAGTGATAAAATTAAAGCTGAATGCTTTCTTGATACTGAAGAGATGAAATATAAATAAGTTTTAGAAGCCTCAACATTATTCAAATTAACAACAACTGAAATTGAAAAAGTCAAAAGTTAAATTAGAATATTAGCTCCAAAACTTACAAATAGATAATATTTTGATTTAGTTATGAATGCCAAAGAACTTCCTATTATTAAAGAATTAAGCCTTTTATTTGTTTAATTTGGTTCTAAATTAGGAATTATAAAAATATTAAAAATTATTGAAAAATTTTAAAAAAATCATATCTCAAATCAAATTTTTTATAATATTTTATTAGAATAATATGGTATTTAATTTAATTCCACTTTTAATGAAATAAGAATTTAAGTTTTGATGACATTGGCCAATTGTAAACTTAAGTAAGTTGATGTATTTTTAAAAACCTTCGAAAAAATCAATAAAAATACTGTTATTTATAAGCATTATTTTAATGAAATTCTAGAGAGTGTTATTCAATTAGGTTTAACTGAAAATGAAATAGTCGATTAAATCAAGTCATTGGTTGATAAATCAAATTTCAATCACTAAACTACTTTAAAATTGGTTCACTATTATATCATGTCTGAATAACCTATAGAAGAGATTGAAAAAGTTGCCAATTCTTTAGATAACTTAAAAACAAAAGAAAATAACAGAATTGTTTTGATCTATGAAATATTAAAAAGAACCTATCCAGAAGCAAAAATAACTAAAATTCATGAAGCTTTAATTAAAGATGAAAAGATAACAACTTCTTTAAAAAAAAATTAATATTCAGTTGAATATGTTCAAAAACTTCTCTAAGCTGTAGAAATTTAAACAGAAACCAATTAATTAGTTGAAAATGTTCAAATTGAACTCTTTTTACCTTAAACGTATTATATTTAATTTATTATGTTTAGTTAATAATCTATTTTAATTCTTACAGGTTATAATCAAAATTATGACAAAACTACATTAAATGGAATAGGCATTTTGTAAAAGAAATTATTATCACTTATTACTAAAAATGTTGTTGTTGTTAATTTTAAGGAATTACACGATATAACTAATTATGAAGATAAAATTACATATTTATAAAACTAAGGTAAAAAATGATTAAATTTTAGGTATTTCAATTACTGCTGACAAGAGTAAAGCTGATTTTAGTGCTTTTAAGTTAATCGAAAAGAAAGACAATTAAAAAAAGCAAAATCCAAAAAAAAAATCTAATGACATTGATTTGGATGAAATTCAAGAACATGTAGAAATTCCTTAATGAGTTCTTTAGTATTTCTGTTACATATTCATAAAATAAAATAATGATTTGATTTGTGAGATTTTAATTCTCTTATTAAATCTCTTAAAATATCTTTTCTGACTCATTTATTAGAATTATATGTTTTAATACAATTCATATTGAAAAATTGTTTTTAATTTTATTAATTATCTTTATAATTAATTCATTTAGACACATTACAAATACTAATTGTTTTTGATATCATTCAGAAAATTATTCAACAATAAATGATTATATGAAAACAAATTTATTTTTTAATAGTTGTTAATAATATAATAATTTCTTGAATTTGATTCTATTTATTTTAGACTAGAAGTTTGAAAAAGATAAATTAAACTTCGGTATTTTTTTAATAATATTTAAAACTATTGACATTCTCGAAAAATTGATTTATAATTACATATTTCTTATGCGAAAATGAATATATATATTTCAGTATATAGAGTAAATTCTTAAGTCAATTTCAGAACATTTGAAGTTTATCCATTAAATGATATTTTGAAATTTAAAAAAAAGATTCTTTTGGCTTGTGAATTATTTTATTATAGTCCCAATTCATATGTATAATAAATAAATTTTTGGACATACTTTAGGCTTAGATTTATAGAAATATCAGAAAAAAAATTTTTAAGATTATCACTCAATAAAAATTATTACTATAGTATTTAATTCTTAATGCAATAATCAAGATATAGAATAAATATAATCTATGAAAATGTTTGTAGAAAGTCTAATCTATTCTTTGGGGGAATAATTAATATAATTCTCATAAGTTTCCTACTATATCGATATCTTGTTAAACTCCAGCATATATATAACAGGATTTTGCTTGCATGATAGTAAACTGAATTTGAAAGAAGTAAATTTGATAACAATATTCAGAATGAATTCAAAAAAGTATCATATTTCAAATGTTCATAATAAAGTTTACATGATTGTGAAATTGTAAACTTTTCAAATACTTAATATAAACATTTTGTCATTAAAAAGATAGGTTTATTTAACATTAAGTATAAAATGAATTAAATTATCCTATGTTACCAAAGTAAACTAAACTTAGAGAAATTTATGGAATTTTAGTTTGTATTTTGGTAGAATTTTATTTCTATATGTAGAAACAAAAGGTATTTCATGGTTTGAAGAATTATTGTTCTAAAATGATTAAAAATATTTTTAAGATTTTCACAAAGGATAAACAATTGTAAATAATTCATCATAATTACTTTAGACATATTTTAAGTATTTAGAAAAATCTTAATAATCGTTGAATAAAATGGCTGTTTAAATTACTAAAACAATTCTTCTCAAGTGTAGTTTAGTAATAGTAGCTAGAGTATAGCTTGATCATCGATAAAAATTTTTGAGCCACTCATATGTATTTATAAATAAATTAATTAATAAGCTCAAAATTATGAATTAGAGTTTGACGGTAATGGAAAAAGTTGAGTAAGATAAGATGGAAAATCCTTAAGCTTGGATTTAAGACAATATATTAAATTCACTTTAGGGAAAACAGTGGAGATCAAATTATTTACAAAGATTGGGAATAAAATAAGAATAAGAGAAAGAGAATACTTCAAAGGAATTTCAATTAAATTATGTTATAAGAACTAATGAAGATGTACGTAACAACTACATTTAGAAACTTATGAATAATAAATTGATGTAATAATAAAAGAAGCATCAAACTTGTAATGCTTTTATATGATGATTTATTTAGTAACAATATTTGATTGGGATGATACATTATTATGCACAACATTTTTGGGAGGATATGGGTTTGTAGATTTACCAATAGATGTATTAGAATAGTTGACTGCATTAAATGAAAGCGCTGTAATTAAAATTAATATATAAAGAGTAGATTGTTAGAAAAAGCTTCTTAAGTTGGAGATGTTTTTATTATAACAAATGCTGCTTAGGGTTGGGTTGAATACAGTAGCAAATTGTAGATATTTAATTTAAAGTAGATATATGAATAAGGTGTTTTAAGTCATATTTGACAAAAAGATAGTTGTTATATCTGCAAGACATGGATATGAAGATATGTTTCCTGGAGATTGTGGTAAATGGAAGATAGAAGCCTTTAAAGATATAAGATCTAAGTATGAAAATGATGTATTCACCAATCTTATATGTTTGGGGGATTCAAACATTGAAATTGATGCTGCCCACGTGTTAGCAAAGTTTAAATCTAAATTATTTTAGGGAATTCACTGTTGCTTTAATTAAGACAATTAAATTTAGGGAATGTCCAAAGCCTGAAGAATTGGTTAGATAGTTAGATTTAGTATCAGATAAATTTGAGTAAATTTATACTACTTTCAAGAGTTTAACAATACGGTTAGAGAAGTAAATATTTTTATTATTATTATTATCATAGAAAAGCATCTGGTAGTTGATCGATTTAATTTTATCAATTATAAATATTTGACATTTAACACCTTTCTTTTTTGTTTCTTAAATATGAAATTTAAGAGAGAACTTAAATTATGTTTATTCATATCCATATATAAATATATATATAGATATTCAAATTTGTTACTTAACGTTGACAATGTCATTTAATCAACATTCATAAGAACTTGAATGTTGTACAGGATCTGTATCTTAAATAACCTTAGTCAATGGTTCAATGAACTCAGGTGATAATTAAGAAACAGTAGGATGTTTAAATAAATCTGTCAATAATTATCTAAGAGTTTCATTTTCATTCTCAATAACTTTAATCTAAATGTTAAATATATCAATACTTTCTTCTGCAATTCTTCATAAGCATCTTAAAGTGGTCCTATCTTCTCTAAAGCTTCTCTTTTTTTCCTTTAAGATTCTTTAGCAGAATTACGATTCCTTCTTATGCATTGGCATTTCTTACAATTGCATTCATCCTCTCCATTGTATACACATTTATTTTTTAATCTTTCTATCATTTTCAAATAGTAATTAGAACTATTTTTAACTTAAACATTTTCATTATATCTATCTTATTGTATCAAATCAATCATATGACTTTCTATTTGTAATAACATTGGAAGAATATATAAAATTGAACAATTCATCTATTTATGAATTCTTTAAGTTCTAATATTGAATTCATTTAAATCAATTTCATCATTTTATTCATCAAAATATACACTAGTAGCTTTTTTTAAGAAATCTTGTGTAGTCGCTTTGAAACTACCCATTATTAATAGATACTAGAAAAATAATAAAGTATAATTACTTCTTAGAAAATGGAATCATTATGAATTTAAGCAGTTTATTTAACAGAGTTTTCTACAACATCAAAAATCAAATTAGATTTTTTGAAAAAGTTGTTCATGTAGACTGTGTATTGATTGAATTGAACTAAAAATTAATCTTTATCCAATTTCTATTGTTATTGACTTAACAATTTAAAAATAAAGGTCCCCCAAATATCTTCAGGCTATTTCTTTATCATTGAATTAAGTTAGGCAAAGCTTAATTATTAACTCACTTATTGGTTGGATGATATAGAATACTAATAAAGTGTATTAAAGAAAATGTCACAAAAGTCATCTCTGAAAATTAAGAATTTGGAAAGATATTAAGTACCTAAAAATGATATATATTAATATTACCTTTATCGTATTATACAAGTTAAGATCTTAATAATAGAGAAAGTGTTTAAAATAAAGAACTACTCATTGTAATTTAGATCGGTTAGGCAATAAATGAAGTCTTTAGTATAGCTATTTATTCAGTTTCTCCTTAGATCTAATCTAATCCATGAATTATCAAATTGCCCAAAACATTGAGAAAATAGGGTAAGTGATAGTCAATGCAATTGTTTATTCTTACAACTTACTTTCTCAACACCTATTGTTAAAAGTATTAAGTAACTCTATTTTGAATGTCGATTAAAGACCAAGCTTTTCTAAATAATAAATAGTTATTAATACTTTTCAATAAGATTGTTTGTTTAGTATGACATCAATGATAGCAGTTGCTGCTATTTCTAAATCTAAAATATTTAATATATCACTATACCTCATTATTTTACTTTAATACTTATTCTTCTTACTTCACCTTTTCTTATTCTTAATGTTTGATTATTGCTTAGAGGTAAAGCTGTTGCAAAGGATTCATAACTATTTAAATTTATTTTTCAATCTGGATTTGAGCAATCGCTTTAATTTATCAAATCATACGTAATATTATTCATATATAGTTATTTACATTCAAACAAAAAATTGGAAGAAATTAATAAAAATACACCGTCATCTTTGCATTCTCTCTTTAACTAAATATTAAATATTTATAAACTATTTATTAGATAATCTAATAACTCCAATAATTATATTTAATCTTTAATTATAAGAAATATCTTTATCAAATATCATAATCATAATCAAATTATTTTGTTGTTTAATTGCAACAAGAATAGGTTCCATCACGTATAAAATGTCCCCGAAAATATTTTTTTTGCTTTACTTTCCTTTTTGTTTCTATAAACTCAGTAGGTACTTTTTAACTCTTGATTTTATTTTCCTCTTTTAATTCAACTAAATTCATTACAAATGTTTCTTGTTCATTAGATTACTCTTTTAATTTTGATGGCTTAAATAGTACACTAAATTGATTCTAATCTAAATCATTAGATTCATTAAATAATTTAAATTTTACTGTGTAATCATGTTCTTAAAATAATAATTTATACAAAGAGGATTCCTAATTTTATTTTATTGTTCTAGCCAACATAGGATGCTAAGTAAGTTATTCATCTTTACAAATCTTAGTCACATTAATTTTTCTAAGTTCTTCAAAATAATGTGCATAACAATGTATTTTCTTATACATTCTTCTTGTGATCATTTAACTAAATAATCCATAAACTTCTGTTCTACTTTTAATATTGAAATTCAAAGCATACAAATATAGTAATTACTAAAAAACTCTAGCACATTTATAAAAATCCATTATTATAAAATCATCTTAGTAGTCTTTCAAATCACAATCTAAGATCTTAAGCATATAAAATGCAGATCTTGGTGGGATATATTAACATTTCGAATAAAATTCAGTTTGAGCCCAAGATTTGTTTCTTGATGGCAAAAATACATCTCTCATATATTTCAAACCCTATCTCAGCCATCCTTTAATATATGAGGTATATCTTGAAATGTAAATATGAATTCCTGTTCTTTGTTCAAACTATTTGCTTCCTGCTCTTGAGTTCCCTCTGCTCTAAATTGCTGATTCGAATAATTCCACCAATTGTTCCCTTGTAAATTATTCATCATATTAAGTAAAAGATATGTATAATCTCTTTAATTCATAGGCCTTTCTCACTCTAACTCCAACCTAATTTTCATAAATTCTAGCCACTTAGCTCCAACTTGTACAATTTATGCCCCCATGCAAATTTACTATTTCTATTAGTTGTTTATCTGATGGTTTTAATTTTCCTTATATTTTCAATCCCACTTATGGTCTCATTTTTAATAATATTATCCATTTTAATTAATTGAATTTTTTTTTAATTTGAAGATTATACAAATTACGAATACTAATTCTTGCATTAAAATTCTCTATCACTTATTTTTACTTCTTTCAAATTTAATGTATTTGCTTAATAACATTCTCAATGATTTCTACAAAATAACCTAGTCTTTAAAACTATTTACATTTTTTATTCGTAACGATATATTTAAAATTTTATTATTTTAAGATAT